TGCTATGATTTTCCAAATTTTCAAAAAATTTCTGGGAAACTTTTCAGCATTTTTTTTTATGAAACGAAAAAAAAATCGGAAAACAAAAGAATTTTATTTTTTGGAAAGGTTTTGAAAAATCAAAAAAGTAAGAAAAAAACAGTATAATTAAAATAAAAAATTACATTCGCAAGAATTCCTAGAAAATTATTAAAAAAAATTTCCAAACCAAATTTTTCAAAACATTTCCCAAAAATATAATCTTTTCGTTCCCCGATTTTTTTTTGTTTCAAAATAAAAATGTTCTGAAAAATTCTCCAGAATCTTAAAAATTAGTAAAAAATATTCCGATTAAATTTTTTTTACCGGTGATTAAATAAATATTCAAGTGTCCATGTCTTCCCCATTTTTTCCGCGGAGTGTCGGTACATCACACGATGTCTGAATAAAAAAAAAAAAAAATTTGGACCAACCGCGTTGAGAAGGAGCGGCTACACGTGCGCACGCCACGTGTATGGGCGTGGCTTTGCCCTGAGAATGTCCGAGTGGAGGTGGAAAAGTGATGTTGGCTGGTGATTTTATTTCTAATGGTACAAAGATAGCTCCCCCCATCGATGAGACAACCCTCATCTTAGAACCCCCGTGGTCATGCAATTCCCTAGAAATTCGTCACACAAGAAAATTCAAATAATAGTCTAATGAATTGATATAACTCATCAGCCCATGACCATCTGATTAGATCAGCCCCTTGTCATGGCGATGAAAGGGGGTAAACACCCATTGTTTTGATTTACAACCGATACCTCCCCTAAATTATCCCGAGAAATAAGATAATAACCGATTATCACTCACGATCAATTCAGAGCAATTTCTTCATTGTTATTCATTAAATTATTTATTTCATCATTAATTAATCCGTAAACAATCTCTCCAAATCCAACGAGCGACGGGAATTAATCTAATTCAAATTCATTCAATTCAGTGTTTTTTTCTGAGGCCAGTTTTTCGCTGATATCTCGGCACTGATGCACCAGAGCGGCTTTTCGGATAAACATTTTTTATAAAAAAATGTGAGAGCTACAAAAAAGGTCATTATAAAAAAATGGCTATCTCCCTTGAATGTCGAGATATCGACGATAAACTTGCGTCGATAAAAAACACTTGGCGACAACATACGTTATGATAATTTTTTTTTTATTCTGTACACGATATTTATGGTGTTGTGTCATATAAAGAGAGGGGGGATTACTTATCTCTTTGTAATTCTGATGATAAATTTACGTGTTGTGGCGAAATGAAATCCATCGAAGAAGAATCGACGAGCGGTCGTTAATTGTTTTCCAGATTTGCATCGTCAACCCTTGGGGGAGGAGACACGTCGGGCCCTTGTGGAAATCCAGAAAGACTGGATTTAAGTACCCGTGGAAGAGGATGTTATGCCTGGTGACTCCTTGAATTCATCCACCATCGGGAATTGCTGGATTTTTTTTAATAAATGCCAATGATTTCATGTCCCCCGAGGGACACACCATTTATTTTTCCTGGATGATAAGGGGGTGGTCTCGACATATATAGGGGATCATATCACCACCAAGTGGCAGTGGTGGTTCAATGGTCTCTCAAGAACTACACCAGAACTGCAGAATATTTTTTTTTATCAATTTTCCAATGAAATTGTGAAAAACATTCCCAACAATTGACATCCAAAATCGATTTTTTAAGAATTTCATGGATTTTTTTATTTTAGTCATTCTGCATCGCATTAATTATTTTATTGAATTAATAATTCATTAAGGATCAATCAATCGCGAGATTCTGCGAATCCTTCTATTTTTTCATTTAATTACAAGTGCTCGTTTAGGTGAATTTTTGTAAGAGGTAATCATCGAGTTATTTCAACATGAAAAAGAAAAGTTTTTTCGTTTCATGGAATCAGGAGCTTTAATTGATTGTGATGAGGAATGCTGATGGTACGGCGATAGAATAGTGGAATTTTTTTGAAGATTTGGGTTTATGTTTTGAGTGATCGTAAAAAAACTGAATGTTTCCTCGTAAAAGGGAAAACCGGAGAAGTTCAGAGTGAAATTGACGGGTTGATGGAGGAAAAGCTGGAGGGATTTCTTTGAGATAAAGAATCGAAAGGAAACGACGGTGTGAAAATACATCGGGTTCATTTCGTGGAGAATGTAAGGAAAGAAGAAATCGGTGAAAAATTATCAGTGGATTTCGAAAACGCATCATTACTCAATAGAATGATGATGAATTTTATAGCATTCAATTAATCATGAAAAATCAACTTTTTTATTACACAATCCAGAATTTCAAGACTCAAATTAATGATAAAAAGTGACTCAATGTGGCGTTGAAATCCCGTGATGAACCGTCTTTTCATTTTAGCGATTGAAAATTCATTATTTCACTAGACATTGAGCTTTTTTTTATTTTATTATTACTTGCAGTACCCGGATAAAAAAAAAATTATAATCGGAATATTTTTTCCGAATTTTCAATAAATTTCTGGAAAACTTTCCTGAAATTTTTTTTTTGAAACAAAAAAAAATTGGGAAACACAACAATTGTTTTTTTTGGAAATATTTGAAAAATTTTTCAACAATTTGTTTTGACATTTTTTTTTATAATTCTCTAGAAATTTTTGCGATAATAATTTTTTTTTTAATTATACTGTTGTTTTCTTATTTTTTTATTTTTCAATATTCTCAAAAAAAAAACGCCATCTAAATTATAAAAAACATTTCCTATTCAAAATTGAGAAAATTTTTTGTTTTCCGATTTTTTTGGTGTTTTATAAAAAAAAATTGTGAAAAGTTTTCCAGAATTTTTTCAAAAATTTGTAAAAAATATTCCGATTACAATTTTTTTTACCATGATACATATGATTTGTCAATCTAATTGATAAATAAAAATTACAAGGAGTTACCCAATCGTAAGATTACCATAAAAAATGAATGAAACTCCAAGGATTCGGGGACTACTCAATCCTGAAGAAGTTGGATTGAAAAAAAAAATCTGTACAGATTAAAAACCTCATGGGATTGAAGTCTGTGCCTGAGGGACGATTCAGTGAAAGTGTGTGACTATCCGAAATTCGTGTCCGAGAATAATCGGTATAACCGATCGTACAAGTAGGCGAGACCCATAAAAGTGAAGGTTGCCTAGATTTTGGTCCCCAATTTGGGATTTCGATGATAAAAATTACAGGAATTGAATAAATAACGGACAAGTACACGTCCATCTCTGGTTGACGCTCGATTTATCGTTTGAGGATTGAAGAGGAATTGATTATCGATGATTAAACCGAAATAGGAACGGACATGATAGACATGGATCTTACGAATTATGATAAATATTGTATGTATTATTTTGAGACATGGAGTGATCATTCATGTATAAAAAATTTAGTTTTTTTATTCCATACGTCTTGATCCTTTCCTCTGCTCCATATCTCATCAGATCCTATCTTCATCCTTATCTAATATTTATAACATTTTTTTATAAATATACATTTTGATATTTTCTGAGGCACTGACGTTTTCCAGCCTCTGCATCTTTTATAATTGTCTGGAATAATTTATTTGGTTTCCATTGCAATAATTTTTTTACGCTATCAATGTGATTTTGGTAATTGTTTATTGATATTGAGAGCAGGTGGTTCGAAGTATGTGTAATTAGTACAGAAATGCATGATTCTGGAATATATAATTGAAAAATTCTGGTGAGGGACAAGTGAATTTTTTTTTCGGGTAGTTTTCCGTGAATATCTCGAAATCGATGGGAAATATCGATATTTTTGGTTCTACATTTTTTGTAGGGAGAGGTGAGGGCTACAAAAAAGGTGGTGATGAAAATATCGATATTTTCGTTCAATACGGAGATATATGGTAAAACTCATGTAATGACCGAGAGTTGCATGAAATGTCAGCGATATTTATTCAATTGCGCATTTTAATTTTTAATTAGAGTTCCGAAATTACAACTTTTATTCGGATACCGATGATTGCTTGACAGGAGAAATAAAATGTTGAATTCAGAATTGAAAAATAATTCTTTCCGAATTTTTAAATAATTTAGAATAGTGAGGAAGCGATGGGGGACGGTTTATGTTTGTTATAAATTATAAAAAAAGATCTGGTATTTAGATTGTTGTGAGTACTTCTAGGCGGAAATGTCAAAAGCCCTTATCCGGTGACTAGGGCAATTTTATATGGAGTATATAACGTGATATTTCGTCCCAGAGTCATCCATCCTTTACGTAATTGCATAATCGAGTGGGATAGGTCAACTTGTCCAATGTGAAATTAAAATATTTAACTGCAAAATTTATTTCTGAATACCTCCGAGACAAGCGAACAATCATCTCCAAAACCAATGAATTATTATTATGAAAATCTCGTTAATATTTATTATTTCTCTCCGGAGAAATTGTTATCAGAATATTCATTGGGTTGAATTAAATTTCTTTTTCAATCGCCGCTAATCGATTATGAAAAATCGAATTTTTATAAACAAAAGTATTTTTCAATACTCGGGGAAAAAATTTTCATTGGGATTTTTTTTTCTAATTTTTCAAAAATTTTTTGGAAATTTTTTTTAAAAAATTCCGAAACAAATATTTGAAAAATTTTTCAAAACATTTCCCAAAAATAAAATTGTATTGTTTCCCTTTTTTTTTGTTTCAAAGAAAAATTTTCTGAAAAGTTTTCCAGAAATTTTTTGAAGACTTGGAAAAAATATTCCGATTACAATTTTTTTTTACCCGGGTACTTCCACTCAATAATTATAAACAATAAAAAATACATAATAACGATTGGCCATTGCAATAACTATTAAATAATAATTAGAAAGTAATTCCAATAGATTTTGTTCATTTAGGGTTGATGAACTGTAATTATTCCAGTAATTATGCGCAATTGACGTGTAATTAAATCGATTGAAAATTTAGGATAGGATCTTTGAGATTCGGTAAATGAAGACTCATCACTTATTGAAATTATTAATTTCAGGGCAATTGCACACGCCTACTGGCGACGCCGGCTGTGAAAAGGGATACGAGAGTCAGATATTGGACTCCAGGGCTTCTGACGAGCACCAGAGATCAACGGTGCTAGCTTGCCCTGAACGTGGTTCAGCAACTCCTGCAATCACGACGACCTCCACGACCACCACGGGCACTGCCTTCACGGTCGCATCAAGTATGCTTCTGCTGCAGACACAGGTTAATTTTTTATCCCAAGATTAATCAAATAAAAATTATCCAAACCCTGGAACGGGTTTAGAAACATCAAAATAACGGTCTACCCCATTTTTTTTTTACTTTCTCCCCCGGGATTACTCCTCAGGTACTCAGAGAATTAAAGAAATCCCAATGAAATCATTGAAAATTATATATATGAATTTTTACGTGAATTCCCCACGAAAAATAACGAATTACTGAATTTTTCACGAGAAAGTCGAAAAAAAAAATTATTAATCATGACGTAACAGGTGTAGAGTTTAATGATGCAGTGATAATGTGTCTCAAAAGGGCGATGAGCTCAAATGTCACGAATACAATCGATTTAATGAGTGAATTTTCCCGTGTGAGTTCAATCTGAATTGATGAATAAATTTTTTTCTTTTCTTTATTGTCCCTGAAGAGCCCATTCGGATGCAGCAGCTTTGCAGATCTCCTAAGTGCCCCTTACACAGACCCTACGGATGCTGCGAATTTACCCGAAGAACTCGATCCATTTCCTGAGCTTCAGCTCGGGAATCCCCAGAACGTCCCCGAAGACGTCCCCATGCATCAGCAGATGCAGCATCACAGGCCATTACCTAGCGATGTCCATACAGACTCCCTCAGGTGAATATTACCCTGACTTTCTGCAGCATGAGATAACAGAAATATTTTTCCAATTTTCAGCCGATATCTTGAAGATAAAAGAAAATAGCGATTTTTTTATAGATACCTTTTTTGCGCCTCTCATCAAGTCCTATAAAAAGTGTTAACACAAAAAAATTGTTATGTCCCTTCAATCCCGAGTTATTGACCAAAAACTGGCGCGGGAGGAAAACGCACTTATGTTGTAGTTCCACTTCGCTGCAGAATTCGTCCATTTTTTTTATTTGTTAATGGAATTACTTGAATTATTTTTTATTCCACAGTCCCACACCCTTGCCGAGCTTTCAAGAGACCTACACAGTGCATCAGCGATACACTCGTCAAGAACTTCAGAGTCTTGGAATAAAAATGGATGACGAGTGTTTCGATGCATTGCAGTACGCCTGCAACGATCCAACATACGCCGGTGAATTTTCCGCGACTGTCCCTTATCACAACCCCCAGCAGCATCATTACCACCATCACCAGCGGCACGAGCATCATCATAACGTAAATATTAAAATTAAGTTACTGAATCATCGCGTGATGACGACTAGATGAATAATTTATTTTTAAATAATTTATTTTTATTGAAAAAATTCTTTGGATTTCTGATGCAGATACCACCAACGCTGACGCCTCCACCGGCTTCGGCTAATTTACCTGGTTCACCACCTCCAGCTTCTTCTCCACCACAGCCACCACCTCCTCCACCTCCACCACCACCTGGTTATTTCTCCACAATATCAACGTCCAATCCTGCTGTTACGATACCACAGAGCACAGTAATTCATCAACGGGACATGTACTCGAGTGTACCAATGGCAACTCCATACGGACAATCACCGAGTCTCGGTGGTAACAATGTCATACGGTCGCGAGCACCAATGCTCCAAAGATCTGATTCCACCAGGTACGAGGAATACTCCAACAAAATAATTTCCTCTGTCAAAAATTTATAATCAAAAAATATATAATAATAATAATTAAATATATAATAATATTATAATTCATTCTCATTTACATTTCTAATTTGATCAATAATTCAGATCAATATGAAGAGAGAATTTATTAGATGTGAATTAATTTAGAAATAATTTTTTTTTCTCAGTGCGTCCATTAAATTTTCAATTCGTCAATGAAAATTTGCAATAAAATTTGCAATAAAATTTGCAATAAAATTTATCAGATATTCGGGAAATTGAATTTGAATTTTTAATGTTGGGTTGCAGTAGTGGGAGTAATCAGGAATCACCGAAGCCTCGGAGGAGTGGTTCGAGTGGTAATCTCACTTCCATACCGTCACCTGGAGGTTCTGAACGTGCGCCGCAAAGTCCGAGTCAACTCTGCGCTGTTTGTGGTGATACGGCTGCCTGTCAGCATTATGGGGTGAGAACTTGTGAGGGATGCAAGGGCTTTTTCAAGCGGACAGTGCAGAAGGGCTCTAAGTACGTCTGCCTGGCGGAGAGAGCTTGTCCCGTGGATAAACGACGGCGCAATCGATGCCAATTTTGTCGATTCCAAAAGTGTCTCAAAGTTGGCATGGTTAAAGAGGTCAGTAGAAAAAAGAGATAATTATAATTAATTTAAATCCCGGTTAAAGAAAATTGCAATCGGAATATTTTTTCTGAATTTTCAAAAATCTTCTGGAAAACTTTTCAGAAAATTTTTTTTATGTAACAAAAAAATTTTATTTTTCGGAAAGGTTTTGAAAAATTCAAAACATTCCAACATTTTTCAAAACATTTCCCAAAAATACAATTGTTCACCGATTTTTTTTGTTTGAAAATAAAAATTTTCTGAGAAGTATTCCAGAAATATTTTGAAAATTTGGAAAAATATTGCGATTACAATTTTTTTTTTACCCGGGAGGAATTCTCTCAAGACAAATCACTTGACAAAATGATAAATGAATTATCATTTTTGTGAATATCATCGATTGAATTGTTTGTTTATTTTTTTTTATTTATTCGTAACAGGTGGTAAGGACCGATTCATTGAAAGGTCGTCGAGGTAGACTCCCGTCCAAGCCAAAATCACCTCAAGAATCACCACCAAGTCCGCCCATATCCCTGATAACTGCCTTAGTCCGAGCGCACGTTGACACAACCCCTGACTTAGCTAATCTGGATTATTCCCAGTACTGTGAGCCAGGTGTGAACGATGTACCCGTCACCGAGGCTGAAAAAATTCAACAATTCTACAATCTCCTGATGACGTCTGTCGACGTGATTCGCAATTTCGCAGATAAAATTCCTGGGTTCACTGACTTGACAAAGGAGGACCAGGAATTACTCTTCCAATCAGCGAGTCTTGAACTCTTTGTACTGAGGCTGGCTTACCGCACTAGAGCTGATGATTCTCGATTGACATTTTGCAATGGAGTCGTATTAACGCGTGCACAATGTCAGAGAAGTTTTGGGGATTGGCTGCATGGAATTCTTGAATTCTGCCAGGCACTCCATACCCTCGATGTGGATATCAGTGCATTTGCCTGTCTCTGTGCTATCACCCTCATCACAGGTGAATAATTTTTGTATAATTAATATCATTAACGGATAATTTTATTTCTTGAATATTCTGGCAATTTTCGGTGATCGGTAAAATTTGGAAATCATCCGGAAATTTTGGAATTCATTATTTTTCAGTGAGACATGGTCTGAAGGAGCCGCATCGGGTTGAGCAGCTCCAGTCGAAAATAATATCATCTCTTCGGGATCATGTGACGTACAACGCCGAGGCCCAGCGAAAGACCAATTATTTATCCCGACTCCTTGGAAAATTACCAGAGCTCAGGAGTCTGTCAATTCAGGGTCACCAGAGGATATTCTACCTGAAAGTGGAGGATCTTGTACCAGCACCGCCCCTCATCGAGACAATGTTCGTCGGTACTTTACCATTCTAGAATGGAATTTAATACAATTATCACCCAGAATTTTGATTTATATTCATCCAGCCAAGACCTCGATTGTGATGGCTCTCGCATTAATTTCTCTTCTTGAATTCCAACAATTCCCAAAGAAAAAGAATCTCATTGGAAAAGCAGAGCAATTACAAGGATAATAATCGTAATGATCCCAATTGTCACCTCACGATTCGGATCTAGGGCTTTTTTTTTCGAATACGAGGAGAAAAATCATCGCGGGGGAATAGATGATGATGGAAAAATCAATATCGAGGTGAAACCTTTCAACATATCAGGACAAAACGAAGGGGTCTAAAGGTTACCTCAAAGATGAATTTTGTTTACCCTTTGATGTTTATAAAATACTCACAACGAGGCACGTTTTTATTGCCATTATGATTAAATAATAAATGATAATTATGTACGTGAAATTTCGTGAACCCTTCGTACCAGTCCTCATATTTACATATATGTGATTTTAGAATTTTAAGAGAATGAAATATAAAATTAAACGGCATCGTACTCGAAAGTGATGTGCACTCCAGGGTTAATGATTATTAGGTAGATTTTAAAAAGATTAAAATGAATTACCATGATATGATTTTAGTAGATTTAAAATATTTTAACGTAATTGTATAAAGATGATACCTTGGTAGGAAAAAAGAAAAAAAAAATACGTAAATTGTTTGATTTTTATTGTTAGCGATGACGATGCCGTGGCATAAAGTTACCTATTAATTTACGAGACATTAATTTTAATCAAACTAACTTAGAAAATTGATACATAAGTGAAATTTCTATTTATACGTAATTTTACGCTATTTTACCATTCACTGTTTATCTGCCGCTGTTTTCACTTATTGTCTTCACTCCTCCAATTTACAGATGTTATAATATCTATTATCTATTTTATGTCCCAGCCCCCTATCTGCCGGTCCTAATGTTGCAATTAGCATTGTCAAATCACTCACTTTTTCAACTGCATATTTACAATTTTCGTAAATAATAGTAACAACATTAAGGAAATAAATATATCGAGATGTTGAATTCTCTTAATCGTGCCTCCTCCCTAGAAATTACTGTACGATTTAATATATTTCGAGAGAAATGGGAATTACATGTGTCTTTTCTATTTGTTTTTACTCATTTTTTTTTACACCATCAAAGGTCCAGTCAGTTGGATGATTATTGAAGCATCACTCTCTAAATTAATTAATTCCCTTCAGGTGCACAATTTAAATGATTTATCTATTGCCCAAAATGCACAGAATATTTTCACTCTACGATCTAAAGATTTGTAAGAAAAAATTAGATGCATATAATTGTTGTATCACCTAGAGATTCACCAGTCATTTATAAAAGAAAAATAGATAATTATGATTTTTGGAATAACTATTTTGATGGTTGTTTTCGATTTCGAATCACACTATCCCACCACCTAATCGTACAACATAGGTAGACGAAGAATTTTTTCATAAAAAAATTGAATGAAAAATAATGAAGAAAAAAAAAAAATATGATAGAGTTGACTTTACACGAATTTGTTACTTATATTATACTGTATGAGTTACGAAGAGTTTTATGCATTCAATCGCCAATGGCCTCAAAGAATATATTAAAAAAATGGAAAAAAAAAAAGTAATTCTCGATTTATATAAAAATCCATTATTATTTTTTAATAGTGATTGGCCAGTACTGAATGAATGTGCGCATTTATCGCGGAAATTGATGAGATTTTATGAATATGAATGTATTTTTAAAGAAAAGGGAAGAGGAGGCCCCGATGCCCTTGAGCACTGAGAAAAATAACTTTTGCATAACTATTTAATTGTGAGAGAGGGAGAGATATTAAATTTTTGTGGGAGAAATTTTTATTATTTTATTATTGCTATTGTATACCTGACTATTTCGCACACGCGAGAGAAAAAAAAAACCTTTAATAAATACAGTGACGATTTATCCTGCTGCGACCTGATAAGAACATCACTCAATTATTAATTACAGTTAAATAATGACTAATGTTATTAATATGCTTAGAGGATGATCGAATCGAATTCGAGATCGAGAGATATTAGTAGAGAAGTGGTAAAAGTCCAAAATTCACGATGGATTTATGAAAAATTATCGAACAACTATTTTACCGAATTTTATCACCTCCATAAAAAGCCTCTTTATATTTTCGGCTCTAATAAACAATTAAATACAGCGATCACTTGTTGCTGAAGTCATTCCAATTTTTTTTCGTCAATAAAAGATTCTTCAGACCCCTGCAATGATCGGTGTAATTATTAACACCTCGTTACCGATAATAACGAATTAAAAAAAATGAAAGATAATTACACAATTGAAATTTTCACGAAAAAATTTTTGACGGGAAGAAAAATAAAATTGTGAATCGAAATTCTTCTGGAATCTCTCCATTTTCAAATATTCTCCGAGTAATTCCATCCTGTGGGGAGGATTTATCACTTTTTTACTGAAATCCTAGAGGAAAAATAAATCGGTGCCAGTGACATACGCAGGAACGATAATAATGCGTACCACAAAGTTGTATTAAAAATAAAAATCATGAGAAAAATAAAATTCCGTGACCTTTTTAAACACATCTTCGCGCGTAACAGAGTTTACGCTGCGCGCGTTCATCCACGAATCACTGCTGTAAAGAATCCATTATATGTTATATTAAATATAAATTAATATGAAAATATAACGACTCTGTTAGGCGCCGGTCCACAGCTTTATACAATAGTTGAAAAAAAAAATAATAATAATCGAGAGACAATTCAAATGGAAAATTGTCGGTTCGTTTCTCCCTTGTACGATATATCACCAGTGAGAAGAAATGTTTCATACATGAAGAATAGCCTACGCGTGTTTTTACAGATCCACGAAATATTTGAGATGAATTAAAAAATGAAAAGTAAGATGAGGTAAAATTAATTGGAGCGTGAAAAACTGAAGATTAATATGGCAATCGTCATGGATATATTTTATAGATGAAAAATTTGAGATTAAAAATGATATATTTATGAGAAGTAATTGATATGTGATATATAGGTGATAAGGCACGCAGAAACGCCCCTTGCAAATGCTTTATAACAAATGTATTCTACAATCGTTTCATTAAATCCGATTTAAAGTGAATTTATGTCTACATTGATTTATAGGGGATTGCGGGATAATGTGGGGATCCCCTGCCATAAAAGAGCAAGGGGTTTTTCATTTCTTGACTTTTTATCTCGATTTTCATCCTGAGGATTGACCAGAGAATTGCGGATGAGAAAATTTTCAATTTTGAATTTTTGAAATATAGCGGAAATAACCGAGATATTCCCGCCATGACTCATGAATACCGATTGCCTAAAAATTGAATAAATGGACTCATGAAGGCGCGAGTTATGGACCTAGTGATTATTCAAAATGATAAGCGTCTATTTAAAATAAAATTTGGCGGGATATTGTCTGGCCTGCGGTGTGTTTGAATTTCCCGCCTCGCGTATGAAAGCATGACAATCGTGTCGACCAATGGGGTGTCATCCTGGACATCCTGGAAGAGTATGACGAATATGGCGCTGGACCTCACTGTCAAGGTACACCCTGTGGTGTTATTTCAGATTGTAGATGCTTACGAGCGGCGTAATTCAGACTCCCAGAGAGTCATAGGTACACTCCTAGGTAAGCCTCTGAAAATATCCAAAAATAATGGAGTAAATCTCCCCATAAACACATTATTTACCCAAAAATGTGGTCACCTAACCTGAAAATAATTCTTACCATGGCGCAGGTACTGCTGAAAAGGGGATCGTGGAAGTGACAAATTGTTTCTGCGTCCCCCACAAGGAGTACGATGACCAGGTCGAGGCTGAGCTCAGTTACGCCATGGATCTCTATGATCTCAACCACAGAGTCAATGCACAGGAGAATATCGTGGGCTGGTGGGCAACTGGAAAAGAAGTTACCACACACTCATCGGTTATTCATGAGTATTATGCCAGAGAGTGCAATAATCCGGTGCACTTGACTGTTGATACAACTCTTATAAATACAACGAGGATGGGAATCAAGGCTTACGTTTGTGTACAGCTCGGAGTGCCCAATGGCAAGCAAGGATGCATGTTCACACCTACCAAAGTTCAGGTAAAATTTTCACAGCTTTCATTTGAACATCAAATAATTCCCTGCGACAATCGTATTGAATAGTGAAGTTGAATTTGTCTGTGTAATTGATTATCATTGAATATTTTTATTTAATGCTGCAGGTGACATCTTATGAACCTGAAATAACTGGACTTCAGCTCTGCCAAAAGACTCAATCACTGCCAGGAGGACCAAAAACTGGTGGGACTGTCGAGCCAATGATGGATCTCGCTCAAATAGCTGAGGCCAGCTCCAAATTATCTGCTATGCTGGATCAAGTTCTCATCTACGTTGACGACGTTCTAGCTGGTAAACAACCACCGGATAACCAAGTTGGCAGGGCCCTCTTGGACATGGTACACTCAGTGCCTAAAATGACGAGTGATCAGTTCGATGAAATGTTCAACAGCAACGTCAAGGATTTGCTGATGGTTGTTGCATTGTCACAGTTGATCAAAACTCAACTTCAATTGAACGAAAAACTTACGCTTCTTACTACACTGTAACCAATTCGTCGAACTTTTTCACCTGTCTTGTATTTTTTTTTTATTACAGGATTCTTGTATTGAATGAAGCAGAAATAAATTCCAGTAATTAATTTAATTGGTGCATTCAGACTGGAATAATTCAAGGTTCCATTAATAATTTACTTACATTTATTTAAAAATAAATTCGTATAAATTATGCGTTTTGAGTAAATACAGAAGAAAGCCGAATAAAAAAAATTCATCAAGAATACAAAAAATATATTAATTCGAGGAAAAATTTCATGTGCCAATATCCCCCACTGATTCTTTTATTACCATTAAATTTAAATTCCAGAACTAGATCCCTCTTTTTTATTATACAAAAGACTAGCCCAGTCGGGCACTCGATCATCCTTCAGATAATTCTCTTTCAAAATACACCTGGAAGGTAGATCAGCTATTCCAAAAATCGCCCCTCCCAACCAGACAGTGTAATTCGGTTTACAAGGGGGCGTATGAAACTTAAAATTTCTGCTCTTCAATTTTTCGCAATACAAATTACTCGATGCAATAGAAATTAACTCTGACTTCAATCGAGCTGTAAACCCCTTTGTCATAACAGTTCCACCCACCAGAAGAATATTCTCTGCCAACTGTTGTCTCATATCGATGGGACACTGAAAGAGATAAAAAATAATCAACTGCCAATTGATATTGATATTGTCAGTGCAATACTGAGGCATTCCAAGAACCGAATTAATACCTTCACTAGTGAATCGAGGATCATTGTTGGAATTGATAGATTATCGTTATCCCTTTCCCACAATAATTCAAAAGCTTTCTCCCGTATGTGCCCAGGAATGGTAATGGTCATTAATCCTGGATATTTGACAGAAGGGGGTGGAACTGGGGGTTCTTGACTCTCCAGTTTCCTGGAGCGCTCGATACTCGTAACAAAACAAGTTCGCACTTTAATATCTTCAATGAGTTCTTCGTTGAAATCAACCTCTGGTACTGATTCTCTGAAAAGCTCCAGCATTCGACTGCAAATTATGTTCAAATGTAAATTTAGAGTCACAGAAATGATAACCGTACTAAATAATGTCCACTGATTGCAATTACTTATGAACAGCTTCAGCTGCCAGTGGCAGGCTCTGCCAGGCTTTCAACACAGGTACCCCCTTGTAGACAGGAATCAGAGTAGCATCCTGATACCCCACATCCAGAACCAGAGCTGTATCCCATCCAAGAGTGCTGATTGTCACCAAATGACTCGGTAGAAGCATCAAAGAGGCGATCTCAAAATGTTTAAACAAAACTTTTGCCAGAGTATCTCGAAATTTCGTAGGAGTCAAGAGACTCTCCAGTACAACAAGCTTCTTATCCTTCGGGGTTATCACAACATGTCTGTGGAATATATTCACTTTACCAATTTTTCAACGAAAACGACAAAATTGATGGAAAAATCGGGATATTTCTTACTTGAAGAAAATCGCATGGAGAAACTCAACGAGTAGTTGATACAGATCATCGACACTGTTGTATTTAAAAATCGGACGAATTTTCTTGGTTTCTGTACATTTTATCTCGGTTTTTGTTATTCCTCTGGGTGTAGCCTCACCTGCGTATCCAAATCTCGAAGAAAAAAACACAATAAAGAATAAATCGAGATTATAACAGGGTTAAACATACTTGGTATAAGCTGCTCCAATATCCAAAACAACGACTTGCTTCTCCAGAAGACAGCGAACATTTTCGTAAGGCCTCGACACTTTCCCAGACATATTTATCAATACCTAATATGTAATAATGACAATGTACCTTGAGGAGGAAATTATTTGACAATTATTACTCCAGTTATATTATTATCTCGATGGGAAACGTCAAAGTCGAGATGTAAAACAGTAGTCTACTTGACCAGCCATCTGTACATGTTGAATTATTGCTCCAAGTGATTTATTTATGACCTCGAACTCCTCGAAAATCAGTAAAAATGAATTTTTCAACAATGCAACAGCCAAATCACTCAATGCCGGACGGAGAGTTCAATTACTATTATTTGAGAAAATTAGAATTCCCACATTGTGCGAAAGAAGCTCTGATTGCAGTAGGTGAGTAGAGGTTATGAAATTCATTTTAAAAAATGGAATAATTGGCAATTCATGCGATAATTGATCTTCCAGCGAAAATGCCAAGAGCCGCTAATTCAACAGCTTACAGACAAATTCAACTTCAAACCGAATTGATAAATGAATTTGTTTTCGGTGAAATTGAAAAATTGAAGCAGCAGAAGAAGACTCGAGCCCTCCAGGAATTCCAGTTGATCGAAGTTCTGAGTGAATTTTTCAGAAATCCAGATCACAGTGCAGCTGTGAGAAATGCAATTTTTCTGCTTCTGTTTCCAGCTGAATATCCTAGATACGAAATTTTAGGTAATTTGGTGTCAATGGCGATTGCCACACAGAATCGAGAGGTGTTGGACTCTTCGGGGATGTGGATACAGCAGCTGGGATCAACCTCAGCCCAGAGCGTTGATTTAGCAAAGCACATTCTCGACGATTACTTCGTGTACACACCGAATTCCATTAATAAATTGAATAAACTACCAGTTCTGGTGCCTCATTTCACCGCCAATCTGCTCACAGCTATTGGAGAAGTCTACAAACTCGAGGATCCACCGAATAAATTATTGAAACTTGCTGGAGACTGGATAGACGATAATCCAGGACTCCTGGCGACTCCACTGATGGACAATCCAGCGTTGCCTCTGGGGGGCATTCCCATGACACCCATTACACCCATCGCAGGACTTTTCAGATGGTGTATATTGAGTCCAGCTCGATCAAAACCAGACAATGCAGATACTATAGTAATAGACGAACGAGATCAATTTTATTCGAAGATCCAGCAGCTACTGATGGACGCTGTTTTGAGATTAAAGAACAGTGGAAGCAATAAACACGCCATTTCCGCTCAACATTTGGCGCAAACGACTAGAGCTTTGACAACATTATTAGAAGAGCCTGAAACCGTTGAAAATAAACCGCGGAGAGATCTGGGTATGGAGAGATTAGCGCAGGCAGTCAGTACCGCAATGTCTGCTAATTGTATTTATGGAAACAAACGTAAGAATTAATCTCTAATTATTATTCACAGCATCGCTAATTGTTTTGTACTAATTATTTTTATTCCAGAGGAATTACTGGCTCTTCTACAACCCCTTGCATGCAGACACTTCCTCATCGAGTGGACATTAATAACGTACGGGAGCAAAGGAGCTGTAGTATAACAAATATTTTAATACATTATATATTTTTGTACAAAAAAACTCTACAATATTCATCCGAAGGGTTTAAAAGTCCTCTTTGTTTTTAATTGCTGCAGTTTCTGCTTATCCATTTCAAATTTCTTCCGCAGTTGCACCAGATCTGAACAGAAATATCATAAAAATAGTCAGCGATGGCATAAAATCGTCCCAGAAATTATCCCGAAACATTTAGAATTGAAAAAAACTACGATAATGGTATGGAATTAATTTAATCTCGAATACTCACGTTGTTTTTTAGATTCTCTAATTTGAAAAGTATAAAAATTGAGCAACTCCTTCTTTTTACTCTTCATCTGCTCTTTCTGCTGGACTTTATCAATCGTCGACTCCTTTCTACTGGGAGCGAATTGTCCTCTCTTCTTTTTACTAGACACCGTGACCCATCCATCAGCATCTTCTTGAGTATTTTCAGCAGCCAAACGTTTCTCGATCCTTTTATCGTAATTCGACATGTACTTGGCTATTTCTTCTTTCAGGGTATTTTCGGAGATATTCGCCTCTTTATTATATTCTCTGCACCATTTTACTAAGCCCAGGGGATTTTTGGGGGTTTCCTCGGGTTCTAGGACTACTGTAAAATCCTGTCCCAAGGAGAGGGCCTTCTCCAGTGAAGATATTTTCGCGAAGACTATGTAGCCTGTTTTGAAACCATTTTGGGAGCTTTCAAGGGCTGGATGTAAGCTCACATTATTCACCCCTCCGCAGTGCCTTGTAAATATATTCTTCAGAGAATCTTTGCTGACGTAAGGGGGAATGTTCAGGATGAATAATGTACGTCCTTTTGGGTGTCCTGGTTCCTGTTTTCTCACGGAATGTTCTTTAATGAATAATTGGTGCTTGTCGGATGTGTCAATATCATATTTCAACCACAAACCTGCGAGTAGAAAAGTCAAATATTAAAAAATCCAAATAGAGTCTTGTTTTAAACAAAAAATTGTTTGGATAAACAAAAAAAAAGTTTTGCAACTGGAAAAGAAGCTTTGAACATTGAAGTTCTTAAGAACTTACTCTTGAAGTTGCCAGGAATTTTATCCTGTGGGACCATCATACACTCAAATATTTCCACCCTTATTCTGGATGGAAAAATATAAATAATTAGAAAGTAAATAAAACACTGACACGTGCAGGTTGACTAAAGTAGAGGCTGAGTTCTGGGGGTGGAGTGACCCCAGCGGCATCGTAGTACTGCACCAGAAGAGAGGGAGGGCGCCACACGCCCTGCTGGGGTGAATTTTATTTTCTGCGGAGTGAATGCTTTTTGTTTTTTATTTGTTTAACTGAAATTTAGCCGACTGTAAAACGAGCGGAAGGGGGAAGCCACATCTTGTGGAATTTCAAATGAAAAAAAATATTCAATGCATTGAAGATATACCACTAATGAAATTATATTTTTAGAGGAGCGCGTTGTCCTAGCGGTAACGTGCTCGACTGGCACGCCAGCGGCCTGGGTTCAATCCCGGCTTAATTCATTTTTTTTTTTTCAAAATAATTCCAATTTTTTTTTTTGTTAATTGCAAATCAATTGAAATATCGTTTAAAAACTGAATATTTGAAAATTGAGAAGATATCCCGTGAAATTGAACAATTTGACATTTTTAAAAACGAAACTTTTGCAATATATATACTCCTAATGAAATTTTATTACTGCAGTAGCGCGTTGGCCTAGTGGTAACGTGCTTGCCTACCACGCCGACGGCCCGGGTTCGATCCCGCCGTCATTCATTTTTTTTTTTCTAAATATAATACTTAAAACTCGAATAGATATCCAGTGAAATGGAAAAATTCGAAATTTTTGAAAAAGTATCAGGGGAACATGAACATCGAGGAGCTATTCACTGAAATTTTCACTGAAAGTGAAAATTTCGAAATTTTTATAAAAGTATTAGGATAACATGACAATCGAGGAGTTATTCACTGAAATTTTCACTGGAAGTGAAAAATTCGAAATTCTTGTAAAAGTATCAGGGGAACATGACAAGCGAAGAGCTATTCACTGAAATTTTCACTGAAAGTGAAAAATTCGAAATTTTTAGAAAAGTATCAGGGTAACATGACAATCGAGGAGCTATTCACTGAAATTTTCACTGAAAGTGAAAAATTCGAAATTTTAGAAAGAGTATCAGGGGAACATGACAATCGAGGAGCTCTTCACTGAAATTTTCACTGAAAGTGAAAAATTCGAAATTTTTGTCAAAGTATCAGGAGAACATGATAATCGAAGAGCTATTCACTGAAATTTTCACTGAAGGTGAAACATTCGGAATTTTTGTAAAAGTATCAGGGGAACATGACAATCAAGGAGCTATTCACTGAAATTTTCACTGCAAATGAAAAATTTGAAATTTTTGTAAAAGTATCAGGGGAACATGACAATCGAGGAGCTATTCAGTTTTTAACCAATATTTCGATTTATTAGTCAGTTACAAAAGAAAAAATTGAAATTATTTAAAAAAAAAAATGAATGACGGCGGGATCGAACCCGGGCCGTCGGCGTGGTAGGCAAGCACGTTACCACTAGGATAACGCGCTATTGCAATAATAAAATTTCATTAGGAGTATATATATTGCAAAAGTTTCGTTTTTAAAAATGTCAAATTGTTCAATTTCACGGGATATCTTCTCAATTTTCAAATATTCAGTTTTTAAACGATATTTCAATTGATTTGCAATTAACAAAAAAAAAAATTGGAATTATTTTGAAAAAAAAAAAATGAATTAAGCCGGGATTGAACCCGGGCCGCTAGCGTGCCAGTAGAGCACGTTACCGCTAGGACAACGCGCTCCTTTAAAAATATAATTTCATTAGTGGTATATCTTCAATGCATTGAATATTTTTTTTCATTTAAAATTTCACAAGATGTGGCTTCCCCCTTCCGCTCGTTCTACAGCCGGCTAAATTTCAGTTAAACAAATAAAAAACAAAAAGCATTCATGTCGCAGAAAATAAAATTCACCCTGGCGACTTGATGAACACCCCAGCATTGCGTGTTGCGCCCGCCCTCTCTGGGGGTGCAGTACTACGAAAAAAATGCAGCGCCATCTTAAAAATTCCCGCGCTTTTTACCGAACATTTAAATGGTCATAACAGCGCTTCTGGAAATATGTCGCTCAAATTAATATTATAAATTATTCCTTTCTGAATCGTATAATTAATACACAAAATTGGTTTAATGTACGAATAAAATAAAAGATTAAAACCCTTTAATGACGTCAGTTTCCAGAATACAATAAAAGCTCAAAGTCCCAGCAATTCATCACTCGTAATACATGCATTAACTCTTTGTACCCACACCTCAATTACATAAAACAACGGTATGGCAACACAATCCAATCACAATAAAAAACGTGCGTACGTAGCAAATTACAAAGTATCAACAGACATCTTCCAAACAAACGTACAACCGACGTGTCATTAAAAAAATTCCGAATGACTGAAAAATCAATGAACAAAAAAAAATACGCATTGACAAAAATGCATCCTAAACAGAGACTGCTGGATTTTCTGAAAGCTGAAAAATTATTGACCACCAGGTTCCATTTTTATTTCATTATGACAAGTGCGAAAACGAGGGATTCAGTTGAAAAAATTGACGTTAACCTCACGATCGATATATCGTTAATTAATTCATGAAGTGATGAGTTGCTTAAACAGCTGTGGGTGGGGGGTGAGAGAGGGTTATGATGAAAAATAGAAACCGGTCTTGGTGTTTCCGGTGTAATGACTGGTGCACAACAGTCAAATCCCAGTAGCACATACAATTCACACAAGGAAACAACGATCACGTGTCTGTGAATCGAGTTAACTAAAAAGCCACAACCGTCAGTTGAACAATAACGCATCACAGAGTCGTATGAGGCATTGAGGTGAGTCAATTTCCTCCATCAACTACCCATTCATCAGATCCAAAAAGCAATCATTAAATATTCATTACAGGGGTTGCAGCAGATAAACGTCAGACATTTGATTATCCATTGACACTATTGCCTATTACCTATCGATATTCATGAATGAACTTCGATATTTCAGTCGACTATTTCCTCATGTTAGTGTTTGTTTATTTATTCCTCTTTTTTTCACTGAGACAACAACTTGACATCTTCGTAATAATTTCAGTTGTATTCTGGATTACATGATCTTGAAGATTTTCAAGGTTGACCCAAATTGTTCCAGCAATTACAAGCACTTTTGTAATTGCAAGTTTTCCTTGTACTCGTCTACCTAATCATTATTATCTGCTAAAGTCCATTGGGGAGATGAACGTTTCTGTCTACCTAGTTTTGTGTGTGTAAATCCACGGAATATTTACTCATTCTTTATGTAACTTATTCTCTGACAATTGAGACACTCCGTTCGAGGGATTATGTAAGGAATTATCTGCCCTTACGTTAGAACTAGAATTTCTTATCTGGATTAGTTTAAAAGTTTAATCACTGTTTTTCATCGGTACCTCGTACGGAAGCAATCATTATCAGTGCTCTCTATCACTTTCAACAGATAACTGCAAATAGCAAGTTGATTTCAATAGATATAAACTCTTATGCGAGACTATGTGATATCTTATCACTGAGATAGATTTCGAAGGTGTCAACAATTTTGGTTTTTCCCTCTTTTCCCTGTTACACCTCATTTTTGTTATTCATTCAATTTTTTATAAACATTCGAATACTTTAATGACTACTAGATTACTAGATAATATTCAATATGTGATATTCGTATATGAATTTTCGTTATTTGTCCTTTTTTTTATTATTATTATACATTAATTCATGTAACAGCAGAAATTTTCAAAGAGCCACAAATAATTCACTGTATTCTGTCGACTTCTAGTGGAATAGCTCCCCTCAATATTATTTTATCACTGCAATTTTAATGACTTCGCTTCCCGTGTCAAGAACATTCACTCGAATGATAAAATATAAACACAAATAAAATTCACAGTGAATTCACGGATACCGATTAAATGACAAACGAATTCCAGCCCAATGATTACCCTTGTAGTACCATTGATTTTTTTTTTCTCGTCCTTGGGAGACTAGAATTAAATGTTTATTCGTGAGACATGGAAAATGGATCAGGTTTACACACCACTCGAGAGTCATATTGTTCAAATATTAATTGCCATTGAGGCCCAATGACTAATTACTATTTTTTTATCCTCCATATTTTTTTCATTGTTCCGCGAAATTTCTAGATAGATGACTTGGATATATCGGAGGTTCTCTCACTGGATTTATATCTACACTTCGATATCAGAAAGATATGCCCTCGTGTTAATATCATTGTGTGGTTGGTCGCCAGTAGTCATCGCCCATCTGTTATTCAGTTCGGGTCTCCAAGTCCCAGCAGCACGTATTATTTTCTAAGTAACGTGTTGGCAATTAGACTGAACTGTCACGACTCATTACAGCTAATTGATCTGAGAGCAGAAGTTTCATTCCCACTTTAATCGGCAGTTAAGTTCTGCTTTCATCAGACTCAGATACCATTTTTTTTTCTCTATTGGCAGATGCTCGTTGTTATCTTCGTGTGGTTTTAATAATTGGAATAATAATTATTCCGATTGAATTATGGATGGAAAGGACGCTACGGAGAAGAGAAGAAATCCGAGGGAGAAGGCCAATCCATTGAGTGCTCTTACGTTTGCGTGAGTTTATTGATTAAACAAATTTGTCATTGCCATTGATTCTCGTTTCGAATAAATTATCACTGTCTGGTCTTTTTGTTTGAGCTATCGCATGGACAATATGTCTTTAGGCTTTGTTTTTCCAGTGATGCAGTAGTTGAATAAACTGTAATCAATTCAATATAACGCATTCTCAACTGCAAATTTATCTCGACTTTAGCTGTGGATGCCAAGACATTTTTTTATTATTAAATCCTGGGAATTTATCTTGACATTTTCCTCTAGTCAGTCGTTAGCAAGATATTTCAATGAATAATGACGCTGTATTGACGATGAGGAAAGATCATGGCGGATAATGAATAAGTGGAATCTACAAATATATCTTGATTTGTAAATTATTTATATTCTCAGGTGGATATTAAAAACATTTTACGTGGGTTACAAGCGGGACCTTGAGATCGATGATCTCACGGAGCCATTGAAAGAGCACAAAAGTAGTTACTTGGGTGATAAAATATCCGCAGCATGGGAGACAGAATTAAATCGTTTCAATCAACAACAGGAGAAAGCAAAACAAAAAGGAAAAAAATCAAATGACAAGAAGAAAACACCGAGTTTAAATCGGGTCTTGATTAAAGTGTTTGGATTGAAAGTTGCGCTCTATGGTGTTGCCTTGGCGATTATGGAAATAGTCCTGAGGTGAGTCATTCTTCATTATCAAATAAATCAAAATTTCAATAGATAATTTCAATAGAAAATCCACTTGATTATCGACTGTGTAAATTTAATTCTACGTTTTCCCAGATTAATGCAACCGATTTTTCTCGGTATGCTCATCAGTTATTATCGACCCTTCAATGCCCCGTATGTGCCGATTCATGCGCCCCAGATTCTCGGTGATGCCCATATCAGGAAAAATGAAGAGATCAAATCGTCGTTAAGTCCCATTGAGAGTGATCAGCTTGGTCAATTCCCTTAGATCATTGTAGTTCGTTATGCACTTCTTTTCTCTAACGATAACACCGAGAGAAATATTTTCGTACTACCACTAGTGGTATCTACAAAATTTAGAATAATTATTCAATTCATCACTTACAGATTTTCTCGACCCACATTTCACCCCTAAATTACACAGAGGAAGTGTAATTTTTATTGAATATCTCTCTCTCTGTGTGTATTTCTTCCTTATAGGCCGTGTTTTATTTGAACACTAATAAAGATTCTAGATGAGTAGTAAAAACAATGATAAGAAGTGGGTAAAGCGATAAAAAACCATTTTGGGACCTATTTCCAAGGTGGAAAAATATTTCCGTAATGAGTGCATCGATGGAAAACCTTTGACAATCATTTTTCGGTCTTTAGAACATCTTGGTGGAGATTTTATTGAGATAATTGAATTATTTATTGAGTAGAAAAAAAACTTTTTGCACGTTCATTTCACTTCAAACGAGATGGCTTGTCTCAAACTACTTTATCGCACCTCTTCACTTCTGAAATCAATTAACTGATAAAAACTCCAAAGGAAAACTGTCTTTACTAGCGAACTGATAACATATAATTATTGAAATCCGAACATTCCAATGATATAATATTATTTTAATGACGACTAATTCACTGGTCAGAAATTACATTCTATAAAAAAAAGACAATTATCATTTTGAGTTAATGAGTAACGACATGATAAGCACAATCAGTATCGGACAAATAAAATATGATCGTTCATTTATTTTCCTTAAAATCCAAGTACACACAGAAAAATGGAAAATTTCTCGATCAAAAATTTACAGGATAAATTTCATTATCTTGTTTTACTCCGATTTGCCACTTCACTTTTGAATCCAATCGACTGATAAATTCTTCTTACATAATCTTTCAAATATTACATTCCTGTACTAAATAAGTATTAACAAGGGATTAGTGAATATTGAACATCTCTCGTTAGCGATAAAATTGCCATCGATAAAGACTCATTGGAATTTTTATCTCCACCCATTCCCCAAGCAATTAGCTAATTAATCCCATTAAAAAAAACCATGTCACGTTTTTCGCCAGCTTTTTTCATCGTCAGTATTTTTTTTATTTAATTATTTAAAATTCAAATGAATTATATAAAATTTCAAAACAGTGAAAATTGTGTCACTTGTGTCAGGTGAATTTTTCCCGATATCGATTGAATTTAATTGAAAACAAAAAACATAAATTATTGATAACTTTTTTTTGGATATTTAAGATTCTTTGAAGATGTCGATTTTAAGTGTCAAATGATAAACACCCCGTACGTGTGAGCTGAGGCCATATAGATTAGTGAGATATAAAAAAGTCACGTCGGCCATACATCACTAATTGAATTTTTATCGATTACTCCTAACATTGACCGAGTTTTCCTCAATGAAATACCTAGACACACCATACAAATTTATTTTTAATTATTCAAGAAAACTTCCTGCAAACAGCAACGAGTTCTTTTCTCAATATTCCCTGGTATTGTTTTACCACTTTACCCATGGTTGAATATCATTCTATTCTAGAGAGAATTTGTAGGCCTTCGGAGACTCACTCTGCATTTTTAACAGAATGATGAAATCCACAGGGTTCTCCAGCCACTCGCCCTGGGTAGACTCCTGAGGTACTACTCAACGGACAACGTGACAAAAACAGAAGCTTATCTCTACGCGAGTGGAGTAATTCTCTGTTCAGCAGTGAATATATTCGTGGTGCATCCGTACATGATGGCAATTCTCCACATGGGTATGAAGATGCGAGTGGCGTGCTGCTCCCTGATCTACAGAAAAGCTCTGAAGCTCTCGAGAACAGCCTTGGGAGAGACAACGGTTGGTCAAGCGGTGAATCTTCTGTCAAACGACGTCAACAGGTTCGACGTGGCAATAATCTTCTTGCACTATCTCTGGATTGGACCCCTGGAGACCGCCATAATCACGTACTTCATGTACCAAGAGGTCAACATCTCAGCGGTAATTGGTGTTGCGTCTTTACTCATGTTCATTCCCCTTCAGGGATGGTTGGGAAAGAAATCCTCAGTCCTCCGTTTGCGCACAGCCATCAGAACAGACGAGCGTGTTCGTCTGACGAATGAAATCATCTCTGGAATCCAAGCCATTAAAATGTACACCTGGGAGCATCCATTCAGTGCCTTAATCGAAAATGCCAGAAAACGAGAGATCAAAGTCATTCGAGCAACTTCATATATCAGAGGAGTCGTCATGTCCTTCATCATCTTCACTACGAGATCGTCACTCTTCTTGACGATCTTATCGTACATTCTTCTCAGTCCTGACAATCAGATCAACGCCGAGAAAATCTTCATGATCACTGCTTACTACAATATATTGAGACAAACTATGACTGTGTTCTTTCCACAGGGAATAACACAGATGGCTGAGGCTGCTGTATCCATAAGACGTCTCCAGGAGTTCCTCATGTATGATGAAGTCTCTACTTATAAGACTGAACAGGATAAAGATATTTTTGAAAATTATACACCATCGAAACAAGCGAATGGTACCGTCGACACTAAAATTGATGACGAGAAGATGGGATCGATCGTTCTGCAAAATGTGAGTGCAAGGTGGGCAGGGAGTGAACATGACGACACATTAGAAGATATAAATATCGATATTCAGCCAGGTAGATTGGTTGCTGTGGTTGGACAAGTGGGCGCTGGTAAATCGTCTCTTCTGAATGTTATCCTGAAGGAATTGAATATCAGTAAAGGAAGCATAGATGTTCAGGGGAGCATGGCGTATGCCAGCCAGGAGCCATGGCTCTTTGCTGGATCTGTCAGGACGAATATACTTTTTGGCAGGAAGATGGAGCAGAAGCGGTACGATCAAGTGGTCAAGGTTTGCCAATTGAAGAGGGACTTTTCATTACTCCCTTACGGTGATAAAACGATTGTGGGTGAGCGAGGAATTAGTTTGTCCGGTGGTCAGAGAGCTAGAATCAATCTGGCTAGAGCAGTTTATGCTAATGCACCGATTTATCTGTTCGATGATCCTCTCAGTGCTGTCGATGCTCATGTGGGTAAACACATGTTTGAAGAGTGCATTGAAAAATATTTACGAGGAAAAACGAGAATTCTGGTGACACATCAAATTCAATTCCTCAGAAATGTCGAGAAGATATACGTTATGAGGGATGGAAGGATCGAGGCTGAAGGAACGTACGACGAATTGGGTGTTCGTGGTATTGATTTTGGACGATTGCTGGAGAATCCTGCTCCTCAGACTGAGGAGAGTACATCAGCGACAGCAAGCAGAAGTACATCCAGACGTACCAGTGTTACTTCTACATCATCAGTACTGACGAATGATAATTCAAGGACACAAGCTGAGCCTGATGAGATCGCTGAGATGAGAACAAAGGGCAGTATTGGAGGACACATCTATGCATCTTATTTCACAGCTGGTGGAAACTGGTTCATTGCCATGATAATATTTATTCTGTGTGCTGGGGCACAATTGGCTGCCAGTGGTGGTGATTATTTCATCGCTTTCTGGGTGAATCTCGAGGAGGAAGATCAGAAATACAGAAGCTCGAATGAGACTATCTTGACTAAGAACGAAGCAGGAACAAATTCAACTGAATTCAGTGGTTATGAGAGAATTTTTCAAAGGGACACGTGCGTCTATATATTCTCAGGACTGACTGTTGCGACGATAACAATAACTCTTGTTCGATCATTCGCCTTCTTCGAGTATTGCATGAAGGCCTCGCAGAAGCTGCACGATAAAATGTTCAGGAGCATCAGTAGAGCCACTATGAGATTTTTTAATACGAATACCTCCGGCAGAGTTTTGAATCGTTTCTCCAAGGACATGGGGGCAATTGATGAATTATTACCAATGGCGTTAATCGATTGTGTACAGATTGGACTGGCTCTTCTGGGAATTGTTGTGGTTGTTGGAGTGGCTAATCCTTGGCTCATGATTCCCACTGCGATTATTGGAGTTATTTTCTATTTTTTGAGGGTGATCTATTTAGGGACCAGTAGAAGTGTTAAAAGACTCGAGGGAATCACTAGGTCTCCGGTGTTCAGTCATCTCAATGCAACTCTTCAGGGACTGGCAACCATCAGAGCATTTGAAGCTGAAACTGTTCTCACGAAAGAGTTTGATCATCATCAGGATCTCCATTCCTCTGCATGGTACATGTTCATCGCCTCCTCCAGGGCTTTTGGATTCTGGCTGGATATATTCTGTCTCATTTATATTGCACTGGTGACCTTGAGCTTTTTGGTACTGCCTGATAGCGCTGATAACACTGAGGGGGGAAATGTGGGGCTGGCAATCACCCAGAGCATTGGATTAACTGGAATGTTTCAGTGGGGAATGAGGCAGAGTGCTGAATTGGAAAATCAAATGACTTCCGTTGAGAGAGTGCTGGAGTACACGAATTTAGAGAGTGAACCTGCGTTGGAGAGCATTCCTGATAAAAAACCGGATGAGAATTGGCCACAGGAGGGAAAGATTCACTTTAGAAATGTTTATCTTTCTTATGCACCTGGAGAGCCACCAGTACTTAAAAATCTCAATTTTGAAATCAAGAAGAAGGAGAAAGTGGGAATTGTGGGGAGAACTGGCGCTGGAAAGTCATCCCTCATTTCTGCATTATTCAGGCTGGCGGATATCGAGGGAGGAATTATTATTGATGGAGTGGAGACATCGGAAATTGGCCTTCACGATCTTAGATCGAAGATCAGTATAATTCCTCAGGAGCCCTTCTTGTTCTCAGGTACTTTGAGGAGAAATCTTGATCCTTTTGATATGTATTCTGATAATTTACTCTGGGCTGCCCTTGAGGATGTCGAATTGAAGGAGATGGGACTGACAGCTCATATCAACGAAGGTGGAAGCAATCTGAGTGTTGGACAGAGACAGCTGGTCTGTCTCGCTCGTGCTATTGTGAAGAATAATCGAATTTTGGTGCTTGATGAGGCAACGGCTAATGTAGATCCTCGGACTGATGAGTTGATTCAGAAGACTATTAGGAGTAAATTTGCCGAGTGCACTGTACTCACCATTGCTCACCGGCTCAACACTGTGATGGATAGCGATAGAATTTTGTTGATGGATGCTGGACAAGTTATGGAATTTGATCATCCTCATATTCTTCTACAAAATGAAACTGGTTATTTATCGAGTATGGTTAAAGAAACTGGAAAAATGATGGAGGATATTTTGACAGGCATTGCCAAACAGAATTATGAGAATCGCCAACCAGCCACATCGCTGTAATTTCCGAGGGAAAGACGTATTTTTCAAAATCATAGCTGATTATGTTATTTCTGTTGCCTCTGAGCGTGAGTGCCTTAGAAAGCGCCTTAACATTAATAGCGATCGATTATTTGCAGACATTGATTATCGTTATCAAGGTAAACGTGCCGTTTTATCGATTGGGGATAGCCGATATTCTCTCTGCGGTCTTTATCGTCAATTGTCGAGTGATATTAACGCACATTGTCAAAACAACAGACGACCCGGACAGATAACGCAACCTGAGAATGAGGTAATCACGGAAAGCAAAAAAAAAAACATGCAGTATTATTTTATTTAATCTTTCGAAATGTGAATGGAGCTGATGTCGGTCAATCATTTTTTCGTTTCTCAAATTTTGAGGATGGAGGATAAGAGAGCAAGTCGAACGTTCGAGATTATTCTTCAAAGTATTTTTATTGTTATCATTCCAAATAATTTGTCGAATTCTGTAGCGAAATCGCTGCAAGAGATAAAAAAAGATTGAATTTTTTCATCTAATGTTAATGTAATATTTTAATTTTTATGTATTGTAATTGTTCCAATGTAATTGGTTTCATTATTTGAATCGTACTTTGTTGTCACTCTCCATCTGCAAGAATTTGAGATGTTCACTCAAAAAAGTACTTAAAAACAAAAAATCAATTAGTTTGGCTGGAACTCCTCCTTTGAGTGCTTTAGACACTTGGAGACAAGTCTTACTAGACAAAAGCCTTCCAACTTTATCTACTTAATCAACTGTCAATGTTACTCACTTAATTTTCAAAACGTCTCCGACGAGTCGGAAGAACCGGAAGACGTTGGGGCAATATTCATGGAGATCACGTATTAAACATTTTGTTCAGTTATTTTCTATAGGAATTCTGCCTGCTGAGGGGTCAATAAAACGCTAGATTATTCCTGAAGAAAGTTTTACCAGAACAATGAAGAATAAATCGTAAAGCTCCAGTGCTACCCCTTTTTTTCATGTTTGTTCATTTAATGAAACAATTTCCGCTGGATTTGTAATTTTCCATGGACCTCTTGTTCAAGTTCTTCACACGACTAGAGTAATTATCGAGAAATTGTTGATGCATGAGTTTATTACGGAGAATCAAAGGAAATGAAAATTGTAACAGTCGAACCCATCGTTACTTACATAACGTGTACATAAAAATTTTTTCGATACATCATGTAAAGTATTTTATAGAGATTTTATTGAAAAGCAATACTGCATAAGTGGAGGTCTATTTTTCTATGCTTAATTTTTACTCCAGTCTGTCATTTTAAATGAGTAAATTGATGTCCATTGCGCTGCCATTTCTATTGTCAATATTGAGAGTTAATTAACGTATTGGTGCTATTTTGTAATGAAAATAATGTCACGACCAGTGGCCGACGAAATGGGAAAGCACATTGGGATACTTCGTACAACTTTCTGTGATCCTGTTATACAACGCCCATTCGCTTCATAATAATCGCCAAAGTTGCATAGTGTGCTACCATGTTTATGTCAATATATTGTAATATTAATTTATGATTAGGAATCACTGTAATAATTATGATTGCATGTTTTGCAAGAAGTGAAGTGTAAAAATGTAATTTTTTTATGAGAAATATTGATTGTTCATTGTAGGAGTATTAAATAAATAACTTCAATTGATTGATTTGCATTTATTTCAGATGTTTTTTTGTTCATTTGATGTATCAATGGAATTTTAATGATGATTTCTCAAATGATCTGGCTGGAGAAAATGATGGGAAGATGTCACGTTAGATTAATCCGAATTAATTCTTAAGATGAGTCATCTATTCACGTAATTGTGGCTATGACCTGTAATACAATAAGAGTTGAATTGTAATTATCTCGTCAGCTTCCATGAAATTATTTTTTTTTAATCTTTTAATTAGTAAAAAATCCAGAGATAATTTCACAACTCGATTCTATTTGCGATGTTTTACGACTTTGCCATTGGATTCGCAATGACAATATTTGTGGAAGGAATCAAAACGGGGGATCAATGAAATTAAATTGAGATTATATCAAACAACAGAAGATTTGTCACAGCAAAGATCATAAAAAAGAGAAAGAAACATCGTAAATAGAATAAATTAATAAGATTCATATTTGGAGAAAATTCAATTCAACCAATTTTTTTTTTCAAATTATTTTGGGCGAGAAATTATTTTGGAGGTAAAAATGAATAAAAAAAGGATTGTATAAAAAACATGAAATTTTATTCTGAACATCATAAAAAATGAGAAAATCATTATAAACAATCGGCAAACACAAAATGAATGACGAAATAATGAGGATTCTTTTTTCGCCTGGAGTACAAGTGCCTGAGAATCCTATACAAATAACAAAAAATTCTCCCTCAAGTAAGATACAAATACGCATATGCCGTTATAATACTCGTTCGTTAGAATTTTTAACGTAAAACTCGTTCCACTGATAACCCACTCGACTCTAATTACAAAACAAAATAATGCAATTGAAACAATACCTCAGGATATCGTCGATATAAATGACAGGTAAAATTTTTTAGTCTTCCTGTAATCATATTCGTGAGTTTGACACTTGGCGCTAGTTAGAAAAATATTTTCAATATGCATAATGCACTCGAAGGTACTAATCGTACGTACGCAATGTAATACTGAGTTTGAAAAAAAAAAAAATATATCTGCAGATTTATCAACAGAAAATAAAAGTTATACGAAAGCGCTAGAAAATTTGAATTTGTAATGAAGTGAAATAAGAATAAATTTCAGTTAGAAAATTCTAGAACCGAATTTTTTACATTTTTTAAGAATTATTTTAAAAAAAGTATCACGTACTACCATTCCATTGCTAATACGTGAGAGACAAATGCCAAGAGATGATTTTCGTGGAGCAATGACGCACGACAAATATCACCTGGCATTTCCCCATGAAATCACTTCATCCAAGGTTAACGAACAATTAACAAAAATTGCAAGATTATGACGATTCACTGTACTACACAATTCTCTGTGACTGATATATTTTCCTCGACGAAAATTTGTGATTCATTATCACCGCAATTCAATGAATTCCTATCACCTCAAGAGCAAATAATGTTTTTTTCTCCGAAATGATATCGATAATTGACTCGTCAATGAGATAAATTTCTCCCATTGATATTTTCAATGCCCGACCAATAGACTCAAGAATATGTTCACCATCTCCGTAAAAAAACCTTGTAAAAAAAAATGTAACACTTCATCTTATTGCACTCCTCAATAGAACTAAAAAATGAAACCGTCCATCATTGCATACAGTTAATTTGAAATAGTTCCTTACCATAAAAATATCACCTAGCTGAATAAATTAAATATGAAAAAAAAAAGAAGAAAAACCATAGACGGTCTGCTACTAAACAGAACTTACGTACCCAGTCACGTATATGTACAAAATATGTAATATAAACGAAGTAAATTAAATGAGGAATGTTGATTAGCAATTACCCACTCAATTATTAATTGACAAATTGATAATTGAGAGAAATTGATGAATTGAATAATCTGAACGTTTAACGTACAGAGACATTATGATTCTTATATCACAAGTTACTCGATATAAACAGGAGATAATACTAATTCTAAACGAGAACCTCGAAGCTCCCTTGGGATCGGCTCTTCATCTGAAGTGTATTTGTCCCATTTGACTGGATGATCATAGCGACACTCTGACACCTCGACTCATCAGATTTTTTCGTCAATGGTCTGACTACGGGTAAAAGAAGCCTTAATCTGTACCAGAACTTGGTGTCACTCGAGTTTTCCCTCTCCTTCTCGTGCCATCTGAGTATTGTCATCTTATCGAGAACAATTCCATCGCTTGCTGCATCCACACAACTTCCGGTTTTAGCGAATGTCGTAATATTTGGAAGATCACTGAGAGATACGACGATTGACTTCAAAGGGAGTTGACTTATTTGTTTGAGGACCAAACTCAAATTGCCCTCTGTCCAGGGCTGCGGTATCGAGCTTGGACTCAGAAGAATTATCACTCGACGAGCGGATGCTGCGTGTGGAGCTATTTCCATATTCCCTGTGAGTCAATAAAATAAATAAATTGAAAATTAATTTGGTAAAGAGGTTTCTACGTCTTTCGTAGTAATTCAACTGAAGGATGAATTCTTCTCGCATATCCCTGAGTCTCGGACACGTAACAAAATATTTATTGACCTTTTGTGTAGCTCTCGATTTATTCATGTCATTCATGTACTTTAATTTTCAACTACTACCGCGTTACGATCAATTTTCTCGTGAAATCATTGAAAAATTGGATAAGCGAGCATGAAGAATGCACATTATTTCCGAATGGAATGCACATTGCATTCATTGTTTTGATACGTAAATCGGGTCACTAGGTTGAAGTTATTATAGAAATAACTGGTGAATTCCCCCTATTTTTAGTTAATCTTCCCTACAAGTTCGAATGAAAACGATTCATTGATGAGACAAATACTCACAGTTGCGATTCAAATGCGAAAGCTCGAGTGTCGTGCACTTGAAGTGGTATTTATTCTCCAAAGTAGCGACTAGTGCCCCCAACGCAATGAATGCATCTTTCTCGTGATAGCACACTAGAGCATCGCAATTTTTACCATCTGAAAGACAAAAAAAAAATGAAGGAATGAAAAAATCCATTAAAAACAGAATTCTCTCGGATTAATTTACAACAATGTGAAGATATATCGGCATTTTTACCATTTTCTTCAAGGCGTGAAAACCTGTTGCGCCAGAGAACGGCCAACGGCAGCCAACATCTGATGTAAGAAGCGATCATCGATACAACAAGAACAAAAACGACAACACCAAGCATCATGGCCTTCCTCCACGATCCATTTCTCAATCCAACAGCGTATCGCTCATCTGCAAAACCAAAAAACCGAAAAATTACAATAATTATTCACTATCATTTGTATCATTGAATATCAAATGACACGTTCTAACAACACTAAAAGCTGTTATTTTTTTTTCAATTCTCCTAGAGTTCTTTGAATTGGAGATAGTGAACGAAGAGACTCTCAATTACCATGAAGATAAATGTGAGCTGATAGCGTCATCTCCTCGTCAGCACCATTGCTGACTCTGCATTCGTACTGGCCATAATCTTCTAGTGTTGTAGCTGTTATCTCCAAGTACGATCCAATAATTTGCTCGTCTTCCCTAAACAAAAAAAAAACGACAATTATAAATTAAAATTGCATTATTTCGAGCATTTGTTTTTTGTACGAATGAAAAAATTGAGTCGACATTTTGATATATCCAGAAAGTGATCAGTGAAATTGATAATATTGAATTGAAATTGACATATCACGGATCATTCGGTTATACATATAAATAAATTTGAGAATTGCTTTTTTTTTTGGTGCACGAAATGGCCATTGAATTGCCATCGAGACATCCATAATTTGCGATGGTCGAGTCCTATGGGTAAGGAATGAAGGGAGAGGAAAACCATTGGACGAACGGAAGAAGAACGGCGGAAAGGTATCATTAGAGTAATGACGGTGCGGGCTCCGACCGATGAAAGATTCCCAACTTCTTGTCGACGTGTCTCAGACTCTCTAACGTACCACCATTGCCATCTATTGCAATTTTCACCTGTCCTGCTCTTCCACAACTTTTTGATTCGTTGAAAAAAAATAAAAAGGATAGCCGTGGTTCACCGCAAGACCCTTTTTTAATTTCCATCGTAATTTTACGAGAGAAATTGGCAGGTTGATGTTGCAATTCTCAAAATTCCACGAACAATTGCAAAAAAAATATGAAAATAAATAAAATGTCTTCCCTAATTATTCGATTACAGGAAAAACCTTTTGACTCTCAATTTTTTACCGAATATTCATTAATTTTATTGATATCCACCCGCAATTGATTGACTCCGAGTAAAAACCGTTATTTGAATGATTGAAAAAAATTACCTCGTGACTCGATGCTGTGAAACCCTTCCCTGACTGGGAACAGTGGCATTACTACCAGCTTTTGTCCAGGTAACCGAGTTCCTTGCGTCTGGTAAATCGACTTTACCGAGATAAGCCTCGCAAAATAGCCTAGCAGCACCTCCAAGGGACACCAGCTGTGATACTGGTTTGTAACTCACCAAAGGTTTACCTGTGTAACCACTAGTGTCTTCACCTGAAAACCATTGAATAAAACATAGATAATGATATGAATAATGACTCGGTTTATTTATTTTTGTTTTACCTCGAGACTCACCCACTATCTCCAGGCTAATATCACCAATGAGTGTGTTTGTGTCGTTTCGAGCTTTGCAGGAGTATCTACCGGCGTCAGAGGGTCTTGCCTCTTGTGTGTAGATCGTCTGATTGGCACTCTCTGGGTACAGAATAAAGTGGCTGACTGCCCCTGGCCACGGATATGCTCTGTCATCTTTATACCTGGAGATCAAACAAATAATCAAAACCTTTAATTACACATTCATATATTATTTTTAGTTTTGTTCAATTATTTTTGCCATCCGAAATTCAGTCAAAAAAATTGCGCCATTCGAAACTGCTGTATGTCCCATTTTTGATTTTAAAAATTCAAGAAAATTCATTTTTTCGTGTTGACTCGTCGTAAAAAATCAATATAAAAAGCAATTCAATTTTGAATAAACCGCCAATTCATGGAAGTTATTACCTGAATTTTTCCAAGTAAGAAACTAGGATAAGTATTTTTTTTTCCTGGAAAGCTTTTCATTTCCCGCCAATGACAACACAATAAGATAATTCCACGAGTGTCTAACGAATGACTTGAAAAAAAAAAACGGTTGAGGACAGATTATCGGAATAATTCGACACTCATCACATCATTAGCGAATCATAAAACGAATAATTGAATTGAACCCTTTTTGCCGGTGGTCGCAAAAGCGGTTAAACCACGGAGAAAAAGAGTTGAGTGAATTCCACGAAAGAAATCATACTAATAATAAACTCCATACACCAAGATGTACTTGTACGACACATTGCGTGTACACAGCGATGCGTGCATTGAAAATACAAAATAAAAATTGATGAAGGGATACTCCTAGACCAATGGTAGATTCTTCATTATTTTTATTTTCTAAAACGATTCTACGAAGAGAAAAGTGGAAGATTGCCCTCGCCCTCGTTCGAAATGGATCACACGGGGCGTTCGTCCACTCGAGTCCGTCTTCGTGTTCCCCATGTGTGAGAATATCTCACACATTGTACACAACCATGTGCCTCGCTCATCAATTATTTTCGGCAATTCCTGGAAGACTCTCAAACTTCCACCAATTTTCTTACTTTTATTTCCCTTTATTAGCAACGATGGCCAAGAATTTCACAAAAAAAAAAATGAACCTGAATAACAATAAATACATGGCATGAACAGTAAAAAAAAAATAAAAACTGTCGAGAGGATTCTTGCAGCGACAATTGTGCAAGAGTAAGTCTCGGTGCAATTGCTCGTCGGCTCAAAAGCGACGCAATAATTGTCTTCTGGAAAAGGGATAATTGGTATCCCCCCAGCTGTGCCCCCGTGAGAATACCCAGAAGAAGACAAGTTAAACTTTTGTTTCGCGCGTGCGCTCTTTTATGCACTCGTTGGGATGTGTTTTAAAGCTTCGTTACATCGATCTTTATTTAATTTTCTTCTCCTCTTTCTTTAAACCGAGAACGAGTTCTCTTCCTGATGTTATCCCGAGTGGCTTCGCTAATTTGCGTCTGGGTCTGCTCACCCCCTCCAAAAGAAAGAACAAAACATCAAAAAAAAAAAAAAAAACACAACGACTGAAATGAAAGGAAGAAGATGAAGAAGAGGAAGAGACTGAAAAATGGGAGAAGTTAATGGAACGGGGTGAAGTCAAAAGGGATATTTTTTTTTTCAGTGCGATTAAAAAAAATTAACTCCATTGTTATTTATTTTTACACAATAGAAATAAAAAATGGCTTGGTGGCTGATTCCATTTATGTTTATATAGATCTTAACATTTTTTTACTCGTTAGCAACCGTTGCAGAGGTATTTCGTACTTTCTCGCACCGACGCAGCCGCCTATTACGGACTTCTCGGAAATCGCTCATTGCGTGTGTACGCGCGCCATTCCTCATTACATTCGCTACCGTCATCGAGGTACGTGAAATAGGTACTTCAATATCCCTCAGCTCGAGTATCATTCTCACAAAATGATTCTATTGCATTCTGGGTGAAGAATACCGAGCGATTCGCCCGTTATTTTCCATTTTTCACCGATGCAATATTCGCATATTACGCAACAAGTGCGTAAAGAATTATTCACGGGACTCGAGAAATAACGAGTTTTACGATTCCACGTGTCGAAAGACATAATGCACGGGTTTTGTATAATATTTTATGTCATTGGGCGTCAGTGGCGTAATGGGATATTTCGTAACAAGTGCGGAAAGGATATTACGATATTCTCCCGTAAAATGGAAGAACGGTATATTAAATACAATTTTAAAAATATTTTATCACACGTAACTCAGAAATTTGTAATGAAAAAAAAAAATGAAAAATGGCACTTTACACACGTGTGCTGAAAATGGTAATTTCGATACGAGGTACAAAAAAGGATTTTTTGGTGAGGGTGGGGATCACGTTGTAGTCAGGGAAGAGTCATTTATAAATTTATTCTTTTGGAAGTCATGAAAATTGATGGTGCATGGTAGAAATTAATAGACAGATGTGGGTCAGATAGGAATACGATTTACCCCGGGAATTCTCAGAAATTTGACACGCAAGCGAGCATTGGGCTATCGCAATCGATTTTGCAGTGAAAATAAAAAACAAAGCGGAAAAGTTCATTCAACGCTCAGCGAGATTTATCGAGATTGGAATGAAGGGAGAAACTTTCTGCGCGATAAAATTTCCCATCACTCCTGAATATTAAAACCCCGATAATAATAATTTTAAAACGCCCGATAATAATAAAAAAAAATCCGATGATATTGAATTATTTACCAAAAACGTAAGATATTCAAATAAAAAATGGCGAATGCGATAAATTCTGCAAATGACAAATGCCAATGGAGAAATGTTGCAATTTCTCAACCGACAAGTGATTCTTCTCAATTGACGATTTCTGTCGTCAATGGCACTAGAAATGATCATGAATTCCGAATGAGGTTTATGCAAATACGAGAGCAGGAGAAAAGAAAGAATTTCCCAACGGAAGGTATACACCAAGTCATATTCATCCAACCGATATCTCCAGGGCTAAAAAATATTGAACCATCAAAACGACAGGTAAAAATTCCCCGGTGATTTTGACGTGTTGATTTGGTATGTAATGCGAATCCATCAAGCGGAAATGTCTTAACCATGATCATGTGAGAAGACAAAGCCCTAGTGCATTTACCTCAACCCCTCCCTCCACAGGAAACGCAATTCCGGTCTCCCTTTCTTCATGAATTCCGCCATTATTATTTCACTCTTTCATTTTATCCTGTTATTTTACCCCTCTATTTACTTTTATTTATACCAAAGAATAAAATAAATTCCAGTCATCGCTGGAATGATAAAGATTGAGACAGCGCGGGAAATAAATGAGACAAAAGCCACCCAAAAGAACTGAGATCTCTCCTCGGTATCACGACAAAAACTCAACCAGAGACCGGTTAAACCCCTGAGAGAGACCCAACCAAACCAAAGGAGCATTTGATTCTGTGGTAGACACTAAATCTTGAGATAAAACCACCAGTCATATACAAACGACCGAAAAATATTTCAGCGTTTACACGTGTCTCATTCTTACTCCATTCCTTTTGTTTCCACGTTGTATTACGCGGGACAAATTCGGTCTTTCTTCTTCACAACATCATGAAAAAGTATCAGTTACATCATCTTGGAATTATGACTCATTGTCCATCTATACCACGTACTCCATTCACCGCGATATTCAGCGTATGAGGAAATTGGTGAACGATTTAAATTCATAATTGGAAGGAAATCATTGCTCGGGGAAAAAGCTGAATCTTGGAATTATCGGGATTGAGAGGGAATTGTGGGATTCCCCGAATTTATTATTCGGTATGGAGTGGTGTAACTGATTTATTTCAGTTGGAGGAACGGTGGAAAAATGGGGTCTTCAATAGTCAGCAATTCCTGTACTCATGGAGTGGAATTTAATGGACGTTTCATCATTCCACAGGCATGAATTTTATGCTTCAAAATGACACTAAAAATATCAGAATTCTAGACCGAACTATTGAAGAATTACCGATTAAATTGTTTTATTTAAAAAAAATCCGGGAGTAACGAATATTTTTGCAGAGAATTAACATTTTTACGTTTTATTATTATTGAGTGATTCACGATGTTTCGTCATTGTACAATAATTACTCTCGGTGTTTCCAAAATTTTTCTGGAATGTCCACAATTCTGAGAAAACTCCGAGAAACATTTACATAAATTTAACCAAACTTTATGAACCACTAAAAAGTGATAAAACACCAAAGCGTTACATTTTTCCCGTCAGTCCAACAAGTCGTTGGCAGAAATCCAGGAAAACGCCAACATTTATTGAAAACTGGAAAACATTTCACCTTAAACAATCGATCATATTTCCCAACTGCAATTAATTCCTCCCAACCCAAAATTTCATGAGAGCTAACCAAAACGGTAAAAAGTTCAATAAAAACGTCAATAGATCCTGAAACAACAATTGCCAATTATTCCTCCAACTAAAAAACCATCAGTCCCTCCACCTAAACCTAAACCTAAAGCCTTGCACCGAGGATTCGTCAACAATGCCAGCAAAAAAATCAGCAACAGTACATCCTCCCCAAAAAAAAACAACTGAATTAAAAATTGGCGTGCATCAGTTTCAGTTGTTGCAAAAAAAAAAAGTAACATAGGGAACGAGCAGAAAAAAAAGGCAAAAAAAGGCAAAAAAAAAGGCGTAAAGTTGTCTCTGCGCGAGAAACACGGGAAAACAAAGTTTCTACGAAGTGATTATTGTCCCACCGTTATTTTCGGAGTGACGAGAGGCCGGTGGACGGCTGTCTCGGACGACAAACCCGACCTGTTATGTCCTCATAGTAAGTGTGCGAATCCCTGACGTTTTCTCTGTTCCTTGTACACACGCCGACAGACACGCCAAGTATCATTACCTATAATGGTGGCCCTCGTGACAATATACCAGTCCCAATCCATTCACTGGAAAAAAAACCCTACTCTTTCCCTAAACACATACATCCACATAAATGCTCTAACATTGTTGAAAACTCGCTGAAAAAAATTGCATTACAGAATTTCCTTTTTTATCCTCATATCCTTTTTTATTCGCTCCAAGGGATGGAAAAGAGATGGAAAAGAGATGGAAAAGAAATGGAAAAGAAATGGAAAAGAGATGGAAAAGGGATGGATGAAATATCATGATTTTCCATCGATTTCGAGAAATCGGCAAGGATCGTGAAAAAAAAATTACTCATTCCACTGGACGACTTGACGACAGAATTTGAAAAAAAAGGTCCTTCTGATGAGAGTGCGAAGAAGATATCCGGTATCGTGCTCTTGGGAGGAATATTTTTCTCCAAGTGTAACAGGTGTCCTTTAGTCAAAAACCTCGAAGTCGAAGGCTCTCTTTGAACACCCGGTCACAGTTTTATTGTACAATGCTCGAGGGAGGAAAAATAAGTCGTTGGTTGGGTTGTATGCAGCACGAGACACTGGTTGTATACCTTTTGCACCTGGAGGGACAGAGAAGTAAAGGGACTCTTGGCAAATAATGGACTGGCGATTGGTTCGTTTGTCCAGAGTATAATGGAATCCTCGTCGAGTCGTTTCCCCAGGTTGTTCCAAGTAGACATACAAGACGGGCAACGTATACCAAGACAAACTGACCAATGAAAAAAGATGGAAATATGAAAATATGTTGAAGATAAATAAAGAGAGTAAATGAGTGGGTGAAAAAGTGAGCGCATGCTTTGTTCCGGTGAATTTTGCCTGGATACCTCATACCTCTCATTATTCTCATCTCAATCCTTCCGTCTCTCTCCAACATTTGCCTTTCTCGTCTGGGAAAAATTTAAACCCCCCACTGACATTCACGCATTTCACCCAGAATTTATTTCATTTCCATTGTCAAAAGACCGAGAGACACTCGGTATATCCTTTTCATTTTATGCGGCTAAAAAAGAAAAACTTACCTGAGGGTGAAATTCGTGGAAACTACTTATACCCTCATCGATACCATTTTCCACGTAACAGTTTAATCCGTAAATATTTAATCTTGCTATAACCGCCCAAAGCCGATTTTACACTTCATGGAAGAAAGTGCAACCTAGTGATTCAAGTGACTCAAGTCGAATAGAATTTATTGGCACCTCCAGTCTTGACTGATTTTTATTTTCACCGAAAAATCGAGTCACTTGTCAAACGGGATAATATCACGAGCTTATCGTTAATGAATTTTAAGTGACCCTTTCATGAATCCTCGGAACTCACTTTACCCAGAACGGATTTATCAGTCTTTTTTTTCTTTGACGATAAATTTTGTCGGTCTTGCAGATAAATGCATTCAGCAAATTGACGGTTTCATGGGTTGAAGTTGATCTAATTAAAAAATTCTCAGGACAACTGGGAGGCAGTGAGGATGATTAAATTCGATAAATTCAAACGGGGAATAAAAAATTCAAAGAAATTGCGTCAGGTAACTGGTATTGCCCAGTGAGTCACTCTAAACCGAGGAAAACGCGTTGTAAAGGAGATAATAATACGAGGAGAAGACATTGAGCCAACACTTTTTCAAGCCTCTCCAATTACATGAAAAAAAAAAATGAGAAGAAAATCACAACTCACCATTCAATGCTGCGATATCCCCTGAGACAACAGTGAATTGCTTTGAATGATCCAACATTCGCGTACTCAGTCGTGACAACTTCTTTGGTAAACCTCAGACCCCCAGGAAGATTGTCAAATTTATGTGCAGAACAATATTCCTCAAGTTCATTATCACGAGCAGGAGGTGGTCCCCCAGCGACAATCCAAAATCCCCTCATCACAAAAATAATCATCAGCAAACCCATATCCCTCAACAATCCCATCTTTCTCTCAACAAAGAATTCCCTATTGTATTCGCCAAATAAAAATCACTTTCACATACTCAGTCACTCTCCGATAATCGGGTTATCAGAATTCTCCTCCTCCAACGAATTGAAATCACTTCACATATTTTTTATTCAAACACTGGATTTATCAATTTTTTATTTGAATTCACCTTAACCTATTGCACCGGTAGCAGAATGAATTTTTTGCTCAAGATTTTGGGGAGATTGTCACAGGTTGGTGGTGGCAATTTATGAATTGAATAGTGGGAACAGACACACGATTTGGGGCAAATATCTGTTTAGAAACAGATGGCAATTATTGGCAATGGCAAGATGTGGATTAAGAGGATCTTACGGTGTGAGTGTCGATGGACGACTGAATCAGTGGATTGAATGACCGGTCGCCGGTAGCGTGTTTCAACTTGTCTGATTCGTGTTTGTACTCGTCAATGCTCGTGTACCGGCGATCCTCGACGAACTAATTCCATGCGGCATTTCTCGGAATTCTTCAACCCCCTACCGCCCCCCCAATAGCCCCATCTGGCGGAAATATTTTTAATTGATCACGGGATTCTCTGCCGGTACTCGGGTAATTATAATTATTACTCTCGGTGAACTCAGACGAACTCTGTACTTCACATTATTCCATTTTTCAAATAAACATGAGGATATGTGCAAAAACGTCAAAATATCAAAATGTCAAAACGTCAAAATGACTTGGATATTAAATTAGCAAATTTAATGAATAATCAAAATTTTTTCACGACCAGTTTTTGGCGAATATCTTGGAATCAAGGGAAGATATCGAGATTTTAATAGATACCTTTTTTGTAGCTTTCATTTTTTCGCGTAAAAAATTTCAATGAAAAAATTCGCTATCTTCCATCGATTCCGAGATATTCGCCGAAAACGAACATCAAAAAAAAATATTCACTTATCCTAAATTACGACTTCGCAAGTGATTTATTGTTAATGGATAAAAATGATTCCCGAGATGCCGATATATCGTCGGGAAAAAAAATGAAGGATAAAAATAAAAAATAATTTGAATGGCGCGTAATTATATCACATTCATGGACGATTACCTTCCCGGTATTACACGTGATACGAATAAGTGGAAAGGAGGTAACATCATCATCATGGCCTTTATTCATGACTAGAGTGCAATCGGTTACCCCAGTGGAACATTATGCGCTTCGTCAAGCAATTTTTTTTTTATCCTTTTTATTCGCATTTTTTCTAACTCAAGGTATTATGAGTCGCACTTGCGATCGCCGAGAGATTTTCTGATTAGAAAATAGAAATACTTGTGACCGGTATTCATCGCTCGTTTTTTATTCCAAGAAAGATCGGATTAACCATTTGCTTCCTCGCTGTAGGTGAATGGGTTCAAGACATGTTTAAGATCATCTCTTTTAAAAATGAAAAGTCACTGTGACTACCCGAGTATAGGATTTACGGAGTTGAGATTAGACTGAACTGATAATAGTCTTTCCGGGTAAAGTTTTGTGAAGCTATCCGTTCAATTATGTAGACGACTGCAATATAAATTGTTACACAACTTTCGTATGCACTCCGAAATATTCTGAAGGATATTTTCAAAAAAATATTGAATAACAGAATATTTTTCTGCACTTAAATCCCTGAAGCTTCCGTTAAAATATCGTTTGGATTTCTAACACATCTTTCATCTAGCATTCTTTACCATCAACACGATGAGATATTTTCATTAAGAAAAAAATATCCTCTTCCCAGGTGAAATGACGGCCAACAAAAATTATTGATCCCTACAGCCACAATTATACCACAAACCTTGCACCAGAAATACCGAATCGATCCAAAAAAATGGATTTGCGTCGTCATCAGTACAATTGAAGTTCATTCCACAATTGAGTTTTCTCCACAAATGCGTAACAAAAAATTGTCGATATTCCTTTCACTCGATATCTCGGTTATTCGATCCATAAAGGAGAATATTACTGGAAAGGTCATCGAGGTCACCATACGATACCCTCAGCTTGGTTGCCTTCGGAGAAGACGAAAACTGAGCAACAACGGTAGCTGAAGATAATGAGAAAAAAATCCGTAGATTAGGCACGTGCGATACATCCATTGCCACAACAATCATCCTTCAGAATGAATTTTTTCCTAAGGCCGATGCGTCATCGAACTATCATTAAATTCTCAGCGATTGCTCATTCCATAATAGCAAAAATTGATTTGAATTCTCATTCAACAATTTACGTACTATAATGCCTGCAAAAATATTTTTCTATTTTTACTAATCAATTTCGGCGCAATGAAATTTCGTGAAATGAAAAATCACGTTTAAAACATGAGGTGAATTTCAATTTTCAATCAGTAATCTTCCAATATTGTAATTACATTATTAAAAATGTTCAATTACCGCAAAAAGTCAAAGGAATTATTGCAGAGATCTCATTGTTCATGATTTTGAAAAAAAATTCTTGAATCTCCAGAATTAAATGAATTTCCCCTTATTAATTCCATCCTCTCCTGCACTTCTTCAGGGATTCCACGATGTTGACGAATCCACGAAGCCCTAGTAGACATTAACGTGTCCATCGAAGAACCCAAGTTTTACCCTGAAGTTGTTTTTTTTTATGAGCGACAGGAAGAAATCCTCTCGGGCAGAAAGCAGAGACGTAGAAGTCCTGGAACAAAGGGGACATGAACGTGGGGGGAAACCAGGTGGACTGCCCCTTTTTCAATGCAACCCCTCTCATGTGTTGGTGACCAGGCTAGGGGGTTATGAGGGAGAAAACCTAGGGGGATACGAAATATCCACAGGCCATACCCGAGGTAGAACACGAGGTAGTGCAACCTCCCTCTCCTCGACACGTCTCGCAAGAATAGATATCTCTCTCTTACGGTCTCTCAGTCTCTCGTTTTTCTCCGTCTCTTCAGTACTTACTCAGACGCCGCATCGTGTACTTCGCTCTTTTACCGCTCATTACATTTATTTAACAAATAGTCTTATCGGTAACTGTTATTGTGCAGCTATTTCACTCATTCACACCCTTTGAAACACTTTCTGCGATATGTGAACAATGGAATGTGAACCGCCGGAATATTTTTACTCCCACAGTTATTCTCGTTTCCATTTTTTAATGGTTTTTCACTGAACTTTATCGTTTTTACAACAGATTTCATGAGGTAAATATGAACAGACGTTGAGTGATCAGTTGTTGTTATTCAATTTTTGGTTTTTCAACTGTTTTTGTTGAGGGTGCAGGGGATTTTTTTGGGAATGCGTTTGGGTCTGGGGGTTTTTTTTTGGGGAATTCGGGGAATTTTCAGGTAGAGATTGTTTAATTATTTTCTTTCGTTTGGGAGTGATGGAGATTCAACCCACGTGGCCCCGGCAAACATCCAAACAAAATCCGCGTAATGTACACATGTGAGTGTAGGTAATTGAAGTTTGTACCTGCCATTTCCTATTTCACACGAGGAAAGGCCACTTATGAATTACGAGTTATTTTAGCAGTGTATACATTTGGTGACGCAATATTTCAGCTCTAGGGTTTTCATCCGTTAGCGTTTTCATTGCAGCTGAGAATATTTATTTATTTGTATTACCTTCGGAGAGTCTTGAGTCGTTATTAACGATTCGGTATCCACATGGGGGAGTAAAAATATCTGCGAGAGATTAAGTCGGGATTTTAATAAACTCAGGGGATTTCCACGTCTGTTGTCATTTACACCAGAGAAAATTGAACATATGATCTTGTTATTTAATTCGAGGATTACAATGCCCAAGAGATTCAATGGGACATAATTTTTTTTGTTTTGGGATAAATATTTACCCTTTGGTATGGGAGAAATTCTGAAGATGAAATCGATGGAATAAATAATAATGATAATAAGAAATTTATTGAATGAATAATTTTTGGGATGTGACGTGGAATTCCGGGAAATTTCTAAATTATTTAGGTTTAATTGTCTAGGTGGAATTCTTAGGATTATATCATTACCCACGTATTAGTTTTTCTTCTCTCTTTTGGAAGAGTCGAGTGGAATGGAAGAAATGATAAAAAAAAATGAGTTCTTCCCCCGCAACCACGAGGGGAGGAAACTCGATCCCTTTATTAAGTCAATAGGAGAAAAAACTTGGAAATCCTCCGGAATTCCAGTCACAATATCACCTGGGGAGAATGATATTACGTTCGATTTTAATTAGAAGCTGAATTTTTCATTACCTTTTAAAAACTACGAAATTCGTATTTCTCATGTTTTTTCATTTGCCTTTTTCAGTGTAATTTTTACGCAGTTCACCCAGAAAAATCATTAATCTTCCCAAGTAAATTTACCAACTACAAGAGAGTCCACACATTTCGATGTAAATATTTCAATGTATTTAGTTAGCAGCAGGTAATTAACTCGGAGAATATTTTTCTTCTTCAAGTGAACAAGTGGCTGTTGTCACGTTCTGTACTATTAATTGTTTTTTAATTCCACTCACAGACCGATTTGAATTTCAGCTGAAAATTCAAGTGTAATTTTTTTTATCGCTCGCCCTGTGGATATTTTATTTTAAATTTTCGTCTTTCATTTTCCCACTAAATCCGATTTAATAAAAACAATTATTTGCGCAGAACAAATAGGCTTACTACATTTTTCTCAGTGTAGCATCAAAAAATTATTGATTTTTTATTGTTTATCGTCACTTTTATAATTCACATGGTGCGGACAGGTGTGCAGGGGGTGGAACTAAAGGATACGTGTGTTGATATTAATCAAACGCGTGCATTGTTTCCATCCTGGATCACAATATGGTTTACACGCTACGTCAACCACCAAAACTCTTCGAGCCGTTCTAGATGGACGTGTGGACTCTATAAATCGTGGTTGTAATAATATTTGAACGTTTCCACGTTTATTTCCGACGGTTTTCGGAGTGAGAAACACACCCGTCAGGCATTTCTCTTCGCGTCAGCATTTCATCCACAAATTTCAATTTTCAACGTATCCATTACTCATCATAATTTGCCCGTCATTAATGAAAATATTTCCTGGTAACTCGTGGAAAATCGGTGAGTGGACTAGAATCGTTAAACATTTTTTTTATCAATTCTCTATTTCAGTTTTGAGTTGGCCGAGTTCTGCGAACTCTTGGAGGTTGAGAAAAAGTCCTTTAATTGGCTTTCTTGGAGGTAATGAAGGAAAATAGACGTTTTCCCTTCGGGAAGCCGGAAATTTCCATGACTCCATTGGCGTAACGATCGACCCCAATTCTCAACTTGTGATAGAACTCACTTTTCGGTGTGGCCCTAGATTTCAACCCTAATTCCAGATAATTGCGGTTTTTTTTAAATTTTTATACCGATCTCGCCTCTTTAATTTTACCTGTCTTATCGACGAGGCGGATGTATATCTTATCGTTAGATCTCGTTATCCCGATAACGACTGACATTTTAACGGAACCCAGGGTGATAAGTTTTTCTTTTTCCCCTAGGAGTCCCGTTTGCGTCGCAGTAAGAAAATGTCAGAGATCTGATGAGTAAAAATCGAGTGAGAAAGTGTTGAATAAATTAAGTGGTTTCGCGGTCTTGGTAGTCTATCCCGAAATAGCGCATTTTAGAATTCTCCAATAGTCCAACATCCAGAGGTACCTCGCGTGTGTAGTTACGCCTACGGGTGTTATTAAAAAAAAAAAGAGCCGAGAGAATACGAAAAATCGTTAGAGGGTGAAAAAGGTGGGACTTTTAATGTGGAACAGTGGGGGGAGGCGTTGGTGATTAAATGATTAGGATGAGGAGTGGGGAAAAAATCGTTAACTGGGTCGATGAGAGATTCTCCAAGATTCAGTAGGTCATCTCGATAAATCGTGGGGGGATTGGAGTTTGGAGGATGTTTACACTTTTTGCACTTCACAAATCAAGTTTCTTGGAGAGATCTTTCTTCCTGGGCGTTGATGAGCAACAGGAAAAATAAACATCTCTGGGGATTTTCAATCTCGTGATGGGTGTTTTGACGAAATTAATGAACTACTCTGATTCGTATCGTATGGAGACTCCCGTTGGATCTATTTTCATTTTAAAAAATAAAACGAGATTTATGATGAGACTTTTTGAATTCTATGGCATCGAAGTTTGTTCTTGAAAAACGGATGCGAATGAAAAGTTTCAGGATAATGAAAGATTGAAGGACTTCATCTGGACGATCGGTTCGTTCGATATTTTATTACGAACTTTTGAGAGCTGTTGACAACTCGATGGCACAAGTCGTTTCACCCTAAACAAATAACTGAGTTACAGCTTCGAGAGAGTGGAGCCTTGAAATTTTAATTGGCCAATATTTATTGACGATTTATTAAATAACTTCTGCAAATTTCATCAAACCGTATATTAACTCTCATCAATTAAAAGGACCACAAGTGCCTGCAGTAAAAGATAATTACTAACTAAAATTAATTACGAGCTAAATAAAGTTAAATAAAAGTACATCATGGAGGTGATTTAACTTTCCTATAATTTCGAAGTCGGTTATTACTGAATGTACATTATTTCTAGAGCACAGAATCTTGAAAAAGTCCTAAATATATAATCACATCCCATCGATTCGTGCGGGATTACTTAAGATTTTCATGTGCTCCACTAATAGCACTGTTCCTGTTTAGGAACCAGAGGGAAATCTCATCTGTGCAGAAGTGGTTAAATCACCCTGAGAGTGAATAATCATTAATGCACGGATGAATACGTCAGTTTAATTTGTGAGGAAACTATGAATAAAATGTCGAAGAAAAAGAATATGAGGTCAGTTGACTTCGGGAGTACTGGGCTGAGGTTTAAACGATAAGTCCTATTTTTGAAGCTGAAGAGCCGAGAGTGGCCTCAAGGTTCTCCCATCAAAGCTCAACCCCACCGAGTGCTACTCATCTCATTTTTTTTTCATTACACCCATTTTTAACTGTCCTCTTCTATTTTCTTCCCATTCCTACCGCTTTTCTTATTCATGTCGCCTCAATTATTAATCCTCACTGTGTCAATGAATAATTTCACGTGAAATTTCAGATGCAGCAGTAATGAATGCCCATGTGGTGGTTGAATTTCTCCTGGTATGGATGGGCCTGTCTTTAACGGTACCTGGGGAGCTCCTAGCACTTGGATACCAAACGGGTGGACTCCTGCTATCAGATCGTGATCCAAAGCCAAGGAGATGTCAGTACAGCAAAATATCGGGGATGCTTCAGGCCAAGTGCGCAGAATTGAATCTCAATGAATTCCCCAAGAATCTACGGACGGACATTGAGGTATAACTTTGAAGTTGCTGAGATGTTAAAACGTTTTACTGAAGATTTTCATCTGAAATTCTTGGGTGAACTTGTAGCACGGTACTCGCTTCTGCCTTCATTAATTCCTGAGGAAGATGAATAACAATTTCCGTGAGCAAACAAAGAGAAAAAAATGGTGATGCTCGGAGAGTTTGTATCTAACAAGACAGCCTCATTTTAAATGTTTACCGGTGAAATTTTCTCCAGTCTTTCAATTATCCACTCCACCCACTTTCATGTTCCCTAGGAGAAGTATTCGGAGTTCAACTATGAATTTAAATCAGGCGAAATCACGTGAAAAATGAGACGCATGGTGGGAATCCAATTATCTCGAGAACCACAGGAGATTCATTTGCCAGTGGTGCATTAGTAGAAAGTGAGGAAAATTACGGATGCTGTGAATCACCTGCGATGCATTTTTCATGGAATAATAATACATAATGTTTAACAACTAGGCTAACTACATTTTTCTGGTACGAGTGGTATTTTTTATGTTGATAAACCAGCGATTTATTTTCGAGGCAGTGAATTCTCCAGTAGCTTCTCATCATTTGAACAAAATAATTCTCTCCGCATTCTGGAAGAATGAATGTTTAATGATTTTTATGAATATATATGAACATATTTACTGAAACAAAGCTTTTTAATATTTCCGGAGTGGAGGACGAGGCTCAACTCCATTTTATTTTTATTTATTATCTTTCTCCAACGGCGGAACGTTTTTTTATCACGAAAATAATTTTAAAAATATAAAAGGCAGACTGTAATTGAACGAAATTTCCTTGAACTTGAAAGAGCGGGAAGAAAGACCTTTGTGAATCGTTGAAATCTCTGGAGCTGATAACACAAAGGGTATGAAACCTTATTATCGAGACAAAAAATTTTCCCTGAAAATAATGCACCCATCTAGAAAAAAAAAATCAAGGATTCTGCATAAACCGCAACTACTCCGTATGTCAGCAATTTCCGTGAAGAATAAGAGTTCATTGCCCGCATTTTCTATCAGGAATGTCTTGACCCCATCTTCCCTTCTCTTTCAATCCCTCAGCCCCTCATTTCCAAGATATTCATAAAATTCTGAGCGTTCGAAACGAACAAAAGGTGAATGAGAATAGCCAAGAGAATTTAATAAATTTCCCCGTTCTCTTCCAGATATTGGATTTTTCAGTGAATCGAATGCGAGACCTAAACAACAAGACTCTGGCTCCGTACACGAGTCTCTCCTTTCTCTACCTGATGGACAACTTCATCCAGACCATCGAGGAAGGTGCCTTCTCACAACTAACAAACATACAAGTTATAAATCTCAATACAAATGGTATCGGCGAATTTCCTAATAGTATATTCAGCCTTCCAAGTTTAAAACGGTTCTACCTAGCAGCGAACAGAATCAGAGATGAGTCTGTAAGACCCACTGGTCTTGCTGAGAATTCGAATTTAGAATTACTAGATTTATCGGGGAATCAATTAACTTCACTGCCACATTTGGGTATTCTGCCACGGCTTAAGTACTTGAATATGTCTGGAAATTCAATCAGACAACTGAAACCTGATGACGTTGCCATCTTCTGCTCCCTCGAGAGTCTGGACATCACGAACAATCCCTTAATCCTGGATGACTGCAGTTGCCATGCCCTCAGTGAGTGGATTGCAATTAGAAATATTAAATTGTATCCAGATAAACTTCAATGCACGACTGATCGTAAAAGATGTACTTATCGTCCTGATAATCCAATCACCTCTAATGATACCGTCAAATTATTCGATAGTTGTAAATATGTTTTAAAAACTAGTGAAGAATTGGCAAAGGCTCGATCAACCTGGATCCTCGTTGGGTCTAGTGTATCAGTTTTTCTCGTTGTATTATTTATTTCATTCTACTACATCCATAGACGCAATAGACGTAAGAAAATTCTTAAGAAGAATAATGAAAAAGGACAATTAGCCGTTAATCATGCTAATACTGAATTACTTAATGATAAGAATCGACAGGATGATGCGTGAAGTGTGATTGCACCAGTGTTTTACAAATGTTTATATATTCTTTTATCACTTATTTGCCATTTTTTAAAATCCACAAGTGAAATATAATTTCAGTGTTTAATAATTAGGAATAGAGTCGATGTATTATCCAAGTTTCATTTATTCTTATAAAACCGATACTCTGGTCCAAATATACAGTTTCAGAACAAACTTAAATGTGATATTTTTTTACGTCGATAAGTTACATTAACTTAATTTACTGGAACTTAAAATAATTATAAGTTTTCTTTGAGTATCTCGAAAAACTGATAGAAAATATTAATGTGGATTTTCTAAACTAAAATTTAAGGATTTTTCTCGTTATAATCTTCTGTTTCAAATCATTTGTATCACTGATACCTTCAATCAAATAAAAAGTCTTATTGCACAAAACAATTTTTTGTACGGAATGATACCTCAGAATTATTTTACTCCAATGGTAATGTTTCTTGTCGTTTTATCAGGGAATGAATTAAATTAAATTATCTCTGATTTTTTTAAATGCCTCTATGGCAATTGGATCGTCAGTGTATTTTTCAAAATTGAAGATCACCTGGTCTTCAAAGTGTCTCTGCAGAGACTTTGCGCTCGGAGTTGAATTTCTGAGAATCTGATAACAGAATATTTTCGATAAAATGAGTATTTCAATGATACAATTTTATCCAATTCATTCATTAATCTTTACCTTCTTGATTGAAAATTTAATCCAGACGTGGAGTGAAGTGGATTTATTAATCAAGTCATTGTCAATCAAATACCGAATCATCTTTTGATTGTCTTCCTTGGTGTACTTGATTCTCCTCCTGCGGCAAAAAGGTGGGGATAAAATACTTCGGTGAGATTTCTGGTGAAAAATTGAGAAGAATTTTTAAATTAAATTGACCCACCCCGAGTTTTTGGAACTGTAACTTCTATCCCATTCATAAGAATTCTTTCTCCCCTTCGTCTTGCTTCTGGTCTTTCTCACATCTGATTCATCTGAGTCAGAAGTGTTGCACTCATCGTATCGAAAGCGTGTCCGCCCCCTAGTCCTCGGTCCCTCAGAATCCTTCTCCTTTTTGATTTTCCTGGTGTCCAAAATTTCTGCGCTCTTTCTCTGTCCCTCACCATCACTGAGATGAGGGGGTCCTGGTGGTCCAGCCTTGGACCAAACAGCATACGAATTTGGAAGCTCAAAGTTCAAAGTTGAATTTTGCCCGTCGATTTCACTATCCGCCAACGGCGCCGATGTCGATCGAGAGTTCTGGCTTTCAGATTTTTTTTCCCCTGTGTTTTCATTGCAACAATCCTCTGAATCACTTATCAAAATCACTTCAGCCGGTGACTGTTTCTCCATTTCTGCAATAATTTCCACACTCTCTGCTTTCCGCAATTGAGCTAATGGCAAATCCTCTGGAATTCGTTTTTTATCGTTCGATTCAAGCGGTGGGGCTTCCAGAAGAGATTTTGAACGTCGAGAAAGGCCACAAGATCGAAAATTTAGGGGACGTTTCGCTTGTGATTTTGGGGGCTTAACAGCAGTTGAAGATGATTTGTCAGCTGTTTTGGGTGGAACACACGAGGGACTCACGTCATCTTTGAAACTTGATATTACCCTCGATTGTTCGCTATCTTTTTTACTCCCCTGTGATCCAGTTACACATGAACTGCTGAGTCTCTGCTGTTTGGTGGCTGGATGAGTCGTGAGACAATCTTCAATGAGAATGTACGGTTCTGGGAGTGAATAATTGTTGACTTTCCTTTTTAATTCAGTGGAATGAGAGGATTTCTTCAAGGACGTCTCACCGATTCCCGATTTGCTCAGTGTATCTTTTGACGAAGAGTTTTTCCGGCTCTGATTTATTCTCCAGGGCAGTCTAAATATCGGAAGAAGACATTTATTTAGATATAATAAAACATTGAAAATCGGGAATGGACCAATTTTTAATTGTTTATTATCCCAAGATTGGTGATATGATGACTTACGAATATTTATTAATATCTTGTAGCTTATTGTCTACAATACTGTCTCGCAGACATTTAATGTGGAATTTACGACGATTAGTGTGTGTGTATCGGCCAGGTTCTGAGAAAATGATGGTGTTGGTGTCGGGGAACGAGAATTTCCCTCCATGTGCCTAATCAAATGAATCACACAAAGAAAATAATTAAAGCGAACCACTAATGAACCTCGAAGTTCATATTTACCTCGATAATCTTTGAAATCTGATGACACTGAGACTCGTCGTATCCTTCCAGATAAAATCTCATGGGAGAACCATTTATGGTGAAAATATGTGCATTGAACAACATATTTTTGCTGACCCGTGGACTCATTGTTGAGGTTTCACCTTTGTCCTATCGTGGTTTTATGCGGACTGTTTACAATTTTTTTTTTCACCCCGGCCTAAACACTCAAATGCCGGCGAACGTGTGAAATTCTTCTGGAGCCGGTGAAGAGAGATTTTGAATGATTCAGGAAGTCGGTAAAGAAGATACTGCACAATTCATTGTTCTTCACGCCTCCAGGGGAGTACTACAGCTCCAAGTAGGTGGCAGTAATTGTCTCATTGAGTAAGTAAATCAAAATTAATTCGAATTATAAATTGTACTTGTCTTTATTTCGGGAAATTTTAGAATAAATTAAACAGCCACATTTGATTCAATTATAAGAAAAATTTTTAAGATCTGCATCAGCGAAAATTTCGCTTGGTTTTGAACCGATGAAATACGATTTCCACAATGAATGTGAGAGTAGCAAGTGAATGGCCGAATACAATAACTGTAATAAGTTGTCCTCGTAATGTCCGTACTTGTTCTTCTTCCACATGCACATGTTCTTTCGTGTTCGTGTGCTCGGATCTCTGCGAATATGTCATGTCAGAATACCATTTGTGAAGAAGACCAGCTTCGCGACACCTTTCAATAATTTCATTGATATTTTTTTTTCCAGGTAAACTCTGACGGAAGAGGAAAGCTGCATTGTGCGACCAAAAAATTGGTTTCGCTAATTTCAGTTGAAATTGTCCACTTTGGGTGCGAGTCCGATGCTTGTAGTACTTAGCTTCATTCCTGAAGAGAATACAGGAAACATTACGATGCCTCACAGCCATTTCTGGACAATTTGTATTATCCATTACTATGAGACTTCTCTTTTTCAAATTCAATTTGGTATCAGTGGCATTTTCAAATGTTTTCCTGAATACTGGATTCCGTATAACTGGTATCAAACCTGAGGCATCAACATCTTCTAGGGTTTCATATGTATTTTCCACCAGCGGATCAACGCCCAGATCTGTCAAAGAAGCGTAAATATTGTTGGCATATGTGAATCCTAGCACGATGACAACGAAAAAAAGGATTCGCTCGTAATTTTTTGATGGCTGATGTTGCACCGCTATTGAGAATATCCAGCGGAAGATAGTCAGTAAATTCCAATATCTTTGATCGAACTTCAAAAGTTTCACTGCAAGCCCAACGACAATTATTATAATCATGGCAAGAACACTACTTTCAAGGGCATCCATGAGGATTTTTTTGTTTATCGTCAATTTCCTTGGCATTAATATTGCCAGTTCATGAATTATGATATTATGCGTTCTCACAGATTCTTCAATTATTTGTTCAGTATAATGAATGCACAAATGAGCAGTCAAATCCCAATTGAAACTTTCCTTGATTATATCTTCAACCGTGAATTCGTTTCGCCATATCTTACTAAGCTTTTGTTTCGGTAGAATAACAGGAGTGGCATTAATTTTTTCAATAATTGTCTGCATGAGAATAATATTTGGTCCTGACATTTTCACCATGTCACCAACATTATTCCATATGACCGAAGCAAATGGTGGTTGATTAACGATAATTATTTTCAGCGCAAGCCCGTACATATTTTTAGCAAAATTTGGGAACAGCACTTCTTCAGTTGAGAACTGGATGTGATAAAATTTTTTCATGAACGGATTAAACTGGTGGATTATCACTCGGTCTGGATTGCCCTTGGAAATTTTGGTGATGGCTCCAGTCAATTCCAGAGATTTCGGTGAATCTGCAATTATTTTTGTAGAGACATTTAAATTAGAGGCATGACGAATTTCAACAATTGCGATGTGCATGATTGCGTGATGCCACGCGTGTCGCAGAATATTTTCCATGTCTCCATTGAAATTTGATGATGTCCTCAGTATGATGAGGAGATAGCAGTTTACAGAGAAGTCTGCCAATTTTTGGATGGAGTCAATCACTTCATATATTTTCTGATTATCCCCTGAATATTCAATATCATAAATGAAGAGGAGAGATGTTGACAACTTTGATATGCCACCAACATCCAAGTCTGTCAGCAGAATGGTGGGATGATCCACGTGGAGTGTCACACTTGGCAAAGTCTTCATAATTTTTGCCAATAATTTATCCTTCAAGATTTCAGAATCCCCTGTTCCATGGCAACGCATTATCAAAGCTGTATGTATAGGAAATCTAGATAAACTCTCAAACCAGTCGACTTCCGGCTGACTCTGAAGTTGATCTGACAGAATTGTGACGACAAGGAACACCAGCAGCCTGATTTTAGTAACCATTATGAATCTCGAAATACGATTGGTGCTGATGAGAATTCACAGAACGAGATTTCAATTAAAATTTCACGAAAAGAATCATTCGGTGAGTACGAGAAAAGTGTTATACACTTGACTGGTCTGTTTGTCAATGATACCACTAGTACGGAAACGACGTGCCTCAGGGAAAATTATTTTTTACTCGTCTCAAATCAATAGATTTTAATTTTTCCTGCGAAATATTCATTTCTACAGTGACAATTTCCTTCCACTCATCGGTAATTCGATCATTACGTTCGGTTATCGCTGGTACTCAGGGATTATTTAAGAATTACGAAGAATTTAATTATTTATTGGCTTTTAATGGTGTGATAATCGTCAGCGTTGAGAGGCGAACGGTTTTTTAAGTCGCATTGATGAGGACTTATTGTTATCCTGAGGGAATTATTTAATTTGAAAATAGTAAAATTGTTCTGTGGAACAGTCGGAAGCTAATGCCTACGGTGACCTAAGACGAAATTATTTGTCGATTTTCCAAATCGATAGAATTGCTACCTCTCCTGCAAAAGAATAAACAAACGTTCATTTTTTCAGCGTTAATGCGACCGAATGTTACCCGTTTATTTTTTTAAAATTCCGCTTCGAGAAAAAATCTCATGAGAATACCATCGATGGTAAAAATATGTGCATTGTATTTCTTTTTAATTCGGGAAATTTTTAAATCAAATAACCAATAACAGTCACTTTTGCTTCGATTATAAAAAGTGAGTGGAATTTTTAATATCTGCATCAGAGAAAATTTGGCTTGATTTTGAACCGATGGAATACGAATTCCCCGATGAATGTGAGAGTAGCAAGTGAATGGCCGAATACAATAACTGCAATAAGTTGTCCTCGTAATGTCCGTACTTGTTCTTCTTCCACATGCACATCTTCTTCCGTGTTCGTGTGCTCGGATCTCTGCGAATATGTCATGTCAGAATACCATTTGTGAAGAAGACCAGCTTCGCGACA